GAATGATTAGGTAAGCTTGCTCCTTCTGAATTTTGGTCAGTATAAAATGGTAGTGACACTAGCATGTAAATACAACGGATTTTTGGCGGAGCTATGACACAACCGGTTTTTTAAATCTTCACTGATTAATATATTCTACAACGAAAAAGATATTCACTCCTCCACGTAGGGAAAACAAAATACATGCAGCACCATTGTAACAATAGATTGAGCTGGTTTGTAACGGGGACTTTTTTGTTTGTTACGTAAAAAGTCGAACATACATACTTACATACCTGTGTGCTTGCTGAATCAAACATTTTACTTAGTTGGCCAAAGTTTAGAGAAACCAAATCTTGCACCAATGTTACTTGAAGGTATTAGACCCAAGAGAAAAAAGATGTGGAGCTCTGGACAGCTGTTTCGGGCTTGTTGGCCCTCATCAGCAGAGCATACTGCAACTTCTCTCTCTGGCATCACGAGTTTATAAAGGCAACCAGGAGTGCAGCACTTGTGGTTCTGAACTAATGAGATTTATCCCCACAAGGCTTTTCTACTGGTATGTGCTGCTGACCATTCCCAGACATTCGCGGTTTGGAGCCTAGGCCCCTCCCCACTCCTGCTGGTCATGGCTGTTATGAAGCTTTAAAGGACCTTTGAATGTCACATGCATATTTACATCAAAGATCAAACTTACCCACTCTTGTCCGTAACTATCTCCTAACAGGGTGCTATGCTTGTCCCATAACCTCCTCAGAAAAAATAGATCTTGCGGAAGAAATCCATTCTGCCCCATTATGACGAAGTAGGTAAAAAAACCAGCCATAGCCTAGACAAAAACACAGTCATAAAAATGATAAGCTTTCTGATCACAATTCAACGAACAATGAAAGATGAACGTGTGCAGAATAGCAGTATGGCCATAGACAAGGGGGACAGAGCCATACATTCTGATGTCCACCATATATTCTAGGCTAGGATTGCTAAACCCCACGCATAGAAATGTTAGTTGTTCAAACACAAGCCCTTTATACATTATTCTCGAAGAATAACCCTTGTATAATGTGCAGCTATGACTCATTTCAACACACTATAAGACAGGTAATGGACAGGTGTTACCCTCTCCTCGGTTCTGAGTTGCGACTGCATTGTATGCTTGCTCAACTTTACATTGCTACATTCTTGGCCCTCACGGTCAATAAATATCAGTTAGAACAATGTATAGAGCCATCTTCCATTGATTGACGGCATCAGGTCCACTAGGTCATCCCTGTCGTGTCTCCTTGCAATCCTCAATGAAATTTTTTATTTGCTTGTTTTCGTTTTTTACCGCACGCATGGTATATGGTGTGCACTATGGGAATAACCATCAGGAGTAGCCTAACAATTTTACAGCCTGAGATTGTTAGCTTTTGATCTCGCTGGCCAAACCCTCTCCAGTATTGGTTGGCTCCTAGGGCAGCGGCTGGGCATACCTCCCTCGGAAACCACCCGTCACCTCTTCCAATGGTGCGCTATTTCCCTTTGGAGAGGAAATGCAACTCTGTGGCTTCACCGTTGCCCAACGCCTCCCCGCAGATTGACAGTATCATTTAGCGCTTGTTTTTTATGTTTATTGTATCGTTAACTGTTCCTTTTTGCCTTTGAGGTTTTTTCCGTTATGTATGCTCTTATAAAAAAGTTGTTGTTTACATTGTTCTTACCAGTTTCATAGCATGTTATAGCTACATACACGTTTCACCCTCGGCGCGCATGCGCAGCGAGGGTTACAGTAGTTGGTTTTGTCTGTGTGTCTGTGTGTCGACACTTATTCTTGCACTACAATCTACGAGCGGCCTATTAGCGGCTTCAGAACTAAGCTAGCCTGAAAAATAAACGGGCGATTTTCCTGAAACGACTGGGTTCAAGAGATATGCCATCAAAACAAGCGAAAAAGGTAATCGCACTGGATTTACCGCGACCTGATCTGCTCACTCTGTGTACCTTGGGGGTCACAACGAAGGGCGTGTATCAACTCCCGCATGCTATCTACTTGTGTAGCTAGCCCCGTGTCAGACTCTCCATGAGCTACTAGCGTGGATACCACGAGTAAACACATACTAATGGCCCAGCCCATCAATTAGCGGAGTTCGCCAAGGGTTTGCACTTCAGTGCTTTTCATTAACCCTCGGCACGCATGGGTTACAGTACTTGGTTTGTGTGTGTGTGTGATTTGGGAATAAGGAAGAGAGATAAAGTGTAGGCAGGGCTAACGCTAACGACAGAGGGTGGGCGTCTTTTGTCGGCGTCACCGCATGCAGCCAGCCAGGTGCTTAAATGTACATGCATACCTATCCACAAGTCCAGCAACATGCAGGTGCAGTGCTAGGCTCTTTGTTACTGGTCATCAGGGGAGTCCCCAATCTTTCACCATGTCACACGTGTATCACTCCCAACACGTGAGACACTCCAGAAAGGGCGAGGCCACTCCACTGGTTGGAGTCCAGATTTTCCTACTACATGGCTACAATTATTGTACTTACAAACTAACCCACATTACATAAAGGCAATGTTAGTATACCACCTACGTGTCCTTAGTAATAACTTCTTCTCTATTCTTCACTTTCTTCCTTCACTCTGGCTCCTAACTGAGCTACTATATACAGGCAAGCTTGGCTGTTTTATACCTTGTTGTGGATGTTATGTCTACTAAAGTCAAAACTTCCCATGCTGTTAATTAGAGAGAGTGTGTGTGTGTGTTACCACGTTTTCTGCCACTAGGTGCAACAAGACAGCCAATAAGCTATGGCAATAGGCTTGGCGCTACACTGGCTTCATTTAAAACTATCGATTTTCGTTTTTAAAAAACTGTGTTCGAAAGTTATGGCGTGAAAATCAAGTGAACAAGCCAATATGCAAATTACTTCGAAAGATGTGCTTGCTCTGCGTACCTTTGAGGCTCTGCAAGAAGTCTCAACGGATGGACCCGATAATATATCGATGTAGCTAGCCCGTGTCAGACTCTCCGCGAGCTACTACCGGAAGACCGCGAGTAAACGCGTACTGCGGCCGGGTTTGCACTTCAGTGCTTTTCATTACTGTCTGAAGTTGTTCGCTGTTTTTACGAACCTGAAACAAGAAACTGTTATCATGGTTCATAAGTGTACTAGCTAAGTTTCTTTGTTACATGACCCAAGTATAACCACACCACAAACACCATTTACAATTTACAACCACCTAGTGGTTTCTTCGGGTGGAACTTTCTATATACATACGACGCACCATCCGTCGTAGTTATGCGCATGCGCCGATATTACGCGCTTAAAAAATTTTTTGCCAGGGGGTTCAGTTCACGTCCAGCAACGGTACTGCTTCTGTTCAAAGAGGTAGACAGACAGAATGCCTGGCCGTCTAAAGTCCTTACGAGATCGAGAGCGGGTAAGGCAACGTCGGGCTACACATTACCGTTCCGCTGCTACTTTCTTCTGGTAGTTTCACTGCAACATAGCTAATAAGACAACATAATAACTTGCTGAAAAAGGTCATTGTGGAGTCTGTGTACTACCTGCATTCTTTAGGCCAGTGGTATTCGCTTATTTTCCTTGCCGCCCGGATGGATCATGATCATATCATGTAGGTACGTAGCTATATTATCGCTAGTAATGATGATGGTTGTATATACTTGCACTACAGTACACTGAAGGCTCGCTCCTCTCGCCCAAATAATGCCAAACATTTCCACTAGTATTGCCTGACTAACAAAAGTGCAAACCCTTGTGCAAGCCCATACTGCAGCCCGCCGGATGTTACCCTTTGCACTACGCATGTGCAAAGGGCCGCTAGCTAGGCCAGTTGTGGATGATACCGGCTTCTTACTTTAACTCTGGCTAGCAGCGTCAGGGACTGCAGTTTCGAACAACGCTGGACTAGATGCTCATCCTCAGAGTAGTGTTTGGACCCCATTGGAACACACTGGTCGAAGTAAGCCATGCTTATTTGCATATTGGCTTCTTTTTAACGCCATAAGTTTTGAATGCAGTGATTTCAGGAAAATCGCCATTTCGCTCCGAAGCCATTGCAGTAGTGCCAGAATAGTAGCGGACATACAGACAGACCAAGTACTGTAACCCTCATTGCGCATACCCGCCGAGGGTTATTATAGACATGATATTTTGTAGGAATGTACATATCCATGTGCAACGCTATACTTTTTTGTTTGCAAACAATATTGTTTACTTTCAGCGGTGTTATTAGAGAGGTGTCCTCATTACTGAAAAGCGCTAAAGTGCAAACCCTCAGCGAACTGCGGATGCGCGATACTGCTAATTGAAGGGCTGTGGCTATTTGTATGCGTTTACTCGTGATCTCCCGCTAGTAGCTGGTGGAGAGTCTGACACGGGCTAGCTACAGTAGTAGATAACATGCGGGAGTCGATACATGAAGGTATTAGACCATGTGATGCCAAGAGAAAAAATATGCGGAACTCTGGACAGCTGTTTCGGGCTTGTTGGCCCTCATCAGCAGAGGATACCGAAACTTCTCTCTCTGGCATCACGAGTTTATAAAGGCTACCAGAAGCGCAGCACTTGTGGTTCTGAACTAATGAGATTTATGCCAACAAGGCTTTGCCACTGGTATGTGCTGCCGACCATGCCCAGACATTCGTGGTTTGGAGCCTAGGCCCCTCCCCACTCCTGCTGGTCAAGGCCAGCACCGAGCCAAAACCCGAACTCGCAATCTGGCATGCGGATTGGGCCGCGGCAATAAAGCCAGCAAGCACCCATATCCTGCCAGTGCATTCACATGAAGGTATTAGACCATGTGATGCCAAGAGAAAAAAGATGTGGAGCTCTGGACAGCTGTTTCGGGCTTGTTGGCCCTCATCAGCAGAGCATACCGCAACTTCTCTCTCTGGCATCACGAGTTTATAAAGGCTACCATTTGTTGTGACTTCCTGAGCCCAAGGCACAAAGAGCGAGCGGATCAGGTCGCAGTAAGCCCAGTGCAATTATGCATGTTTTCACAGCATATTTCTCGAACGCAGTCGTTTTAGGAAAATCACCCTTTATTTTTCTGGCTCGCGTTGTTCTGAAGGCGCTGGTATCGCTAATAGGCACCTCAAAGCCTGTAGTGCCAGAATAAGAGTTGACGCTCAGATAGACAAACAAACTACTGTAACCCTCACTGTGCATGCGCTCCGAGGGTTAACAACAAATAGCCCCAGGCAATACCTTATATGATGGGAACATGTGTGCTAGTGTAACTCACAAACGCTAAGAGTTGTGCAAATGAAAGTTTGTATAGCAAGCTTTTCTAATGAAATGGAAATCATCTAAGCACTTTTGCAGGTATTCTTGTACTCCACGAGTTCCCAAATGTTGGCTCAGTGTGCAAAATAGTTTGTAGTTCAGAGAAACTGGTGCATATTCACCCAGTGCACCACTACTCCAAAGAAGGTCCTCTTTCTCTACAGCCAGCAGCTCGCCTTTGTTCTTCCGCTACCCCCTCCAACTTTCTCGTAATTCAATCGCCTGTCTGTTCAGCACGAGACGACTGCGTTGTCTTTCAAGAGTCTGAAATCGGCTAACCTTGTCCGCAGACTGTCCGGTCCGTACTCGGCTCCGTCCTCTTTTCAAACTTCAGCGTAGAATTGCTGCAGTAATTCGTCTAACCGCTGTTGGTTCAGCTGCGTCAGCTCAGCTTGAATTCTTCGCTACGCCTTCCATTTCAACAGTTGATTAGCCAAGGTACTTGTGGACTTCTTCGTTACTGCTCTTCTGAAAAAACCTACCCATTTCGTTCATTTTCGAACAAATGAAGCGGTTGGTACAGACACTCATTTTTAGTTGCTACATACGTAGGTGAAATATTTCACGCTGAAAGTGTTGCTACATGATTTGATTAGTCAATTTTCCAGTGTAAATTAGTGTTAGTGTAAATTTCTTCAGGCTAAATGTATGGAAAGTATACTATTATGAAGCAAGGCGAATGTGCTCCTTTGTAGCTACGTATGACTCATTTTAAGGCAGGTAAAGTACAGCTTGCAGTTTGTGAATTGTGACTGCATTGTGTGTCTCATACTTCAATTTTAGCAGTTTTACAAAGGAGCGTTCTTGGTTTACAGAATCTAAATCACCAATTACAGAATCTACATATATGTTATGTACTACGTGCGAGGGACATACCGGATTTCAATGAACCCGAGGGCCTTCGCGTTTGTAGTGTCCCGAGCGCAGCGAGGGCACTACGCGGATGGCCCGAGGGTTCATTGAAATCCGGTATGTCCCGAGTATACGGAGTACATAACATGTTTAGTGCAGAGCAAATCAGCTTCGTATACGCGCACTGCCGCGTTTCCAAGCACAGAGAATTTGAAAGATGCTAGAAAGAGACGAGAGCGCAAGACCGTCATCTTGTGAGGGACTATTGAATGCCGAACGCTAGGATACGCTGCTCCGCCGCTCTAGCTACTCCCCGCTGGACTGTCCTCCACCACTCATCCGAAGAAACGCGACAGGAGACCTGCGCGAACCATCGCAATCAGAGAGAGGCGAGAGTGGAGAATTCAGGCGCTGTGCAGGCTGCTATACCGAAGGCGTTCGCCGTAGACTTAGTAGCTTTGTCGCGCGCACTCGCTCGTGGAGCCCCACCCCCTTATTTGCGCGCGGTGGTTTGTGGGCGGGCGTGAGCTAATAGTGGCCGGCTATCTAACATGGAGATGGGCTCAAAGCAGACACAGAAAACTGTCTCGTGGAAAAAGAAAATTAAGATATCAGTTATTTTGATCAACATTTTGTACAGATCTTGTTTTGCGGGATACATTTCTTACATGAAATGCTGTTGAACTTGTTGAAAATCAACAGAAAAAACAAAGTTTCATATCATGTTTTCATGTTACTTTTGTTAGCTCACGAGGTTCATATGAGAAATCAGGAACCTCGTACTAACAAATCTGATTGGTCGATTTGAATCAGCTATGCACTAATCACCAATTATTGTCCTCACACTGTACAAAATTGTACTTAACAAAGTAAGGCTAAGTAATCTAAAAGGGCTTGTCTGGTTTTGTGGAACCTACGAAAGATAAGGGCATAAATTGGTGCCAGGAATCCCTAGTCTGGAGTTAGTAGAATGTGCACAAGAGATTTGCCCAAGTGACCATACTATGTCTTTAATCAATATCTCACCTGAATAATTCCAATTTGTCCATAAGCCATGTTGATCAGTCTGTTATTAACCAGCTTATCCCTTAATGGATCCCTTGGAGGTCTTTCCATGATGTTACTTTCAGGTTTCTCATAGGCTAAAGATATTGCTGGTATCTAAACAAAATAATTCCATGACAGCATCCAGTTGATAAGGTGGTGGTTCACACTTATAACCTGGAAGTATACTAAAATTCACAGCGCATTTCCATGTCGGAAATATATACCTATCTATGCTAAGAAACCTTTTTATGCACTTTCTGAATATCTGCATATCAGATACTACAACAAGAGCAAGAGCAGGTTTTAAATAAAGTACCTAAGCAAGTCTTGGGGGATAATATCTGCTTTTAGCATGCTCCTAAATAATTCATTACGCACTCTTAGCGCTATTTGCGGTGACGTATGCATTTTAGCAATGCATGCTTCAGAAATAGTTGCGCACAAAAGACGCATAATACGACAAAATGTGCTACATACAAGCGGGTGTACTGACTGCATTTTGTGACTTATCTGTACTATAATACGTTGCCGCAATGCTCAGAGACTGTAGAATGCATTCGTGTTGGTTTTACATGGATACAATGCCCCATACGCGTGATATTTGGTCACCAAGTGTTACCGCACTGAAGCACGCCGATACGACTTTATCTGCTACTGCGCCATATGTTAGCTCTGTATACTAGGTAATTGGTTGTGGTCGTGCAGTTTTGTGAGTACCTCCTGTGTGTTACTAGCCTGAACTGCCACCCTAAAATCTGCATCCTAATGTGTTAATGTTTTTTGCTGTTTAAAAATGCCTGTTTAGAATATTCCTCGTCTGATGATTGATGCAGCAATAGCACTCAGAACACAGTTGTGTGTGTTTTAAAAGGTGCTGCATTACAACTGAAACAAGAATTGTTTTGGGGAGGAAATGCAACAGAGAAGCTATAGAAAAGGTCCAGGATGGTACAAAAATTATGACAGTGAAAGGGGGTAGTTAGTAGAAAGTTAAGTGGGGAATAGGAATTGTTCTCGAAAGGGGTGTAAAAAGCACTGTTGCGAGCAGAATGGTTCTGCCTAATTTATCAGTCCTGCTGCAATCCACACAAATCACATATCAAAATGATCCTCAATCATTGCTGATTAATGTGAGAGGTCATGCGCTAGTAACAAAAACAGAGGGTGTTTCATAAAAAACCAATACTGTGAGTCAAAGCTCAATATGCACAATCCTTAGTCTATAGGAGCATCTTTGAAGTCAGAAACATTTCACCACTCACCTTTAGTTTGTGGATAATATGGCAGACAGTGGTTTTTGAGGTATCTGGGGGTTAGGCTGATTTTAAGATCCAAGACTTGAAATTTAAAACGTATTATCGATGCACCTCCTCGATTTTAACTGACCTCTACGCATGGTGGATAAACGTGCCCGTGGGGCTAGCCCAGTGCGGCAGCAAGCTGACGGTCAAGGAACCACGCATCAGGCAGGATCGGCCCACACCCACCGGTGTCAGCTTAAGGCAAGGGTAAAGTCTGAGCCTGTTTCGAGAGCCCCCTCATGATTTGGGTGTAGCGATGCCAGCTAAGTTTGTCTTTATTGAAGCAGTGGTGACTACTTCACTGCAACAAACAAATTCATAAACAGGGAAGGTTCACAGCCAAATAAGGCTGCGAACTTTGTCCAATCTGGCTATGTCCAGTTCCCTATGATGTCAAGCAGTAGCTCTAGCAGGGTTGCAATGTCAAGTTCCCTCTGATGTTAAGCAGCTGCTCTAGCAGGGATGAGGGAAGTGGAGAATTAGGCTGGTAGTTGGCAGCTTAGATAAGGAGAACAACATTTCATGCGACAAAATACATCTGCAAGGTGTTACATTGTACTAGTAAAAGTGTGAAAGAATTCTATGCCTCAATCAACAAGCGGCAATGAAGTAAATAGATCAGGATATAAGTATGACCAGTCTCTCTCTTCGGGTGACGGATATCAACATTGTTACAACGTTTCATTACTGTACGTATGTTGTTTCGTTTTTGAGTTATGGGTGTCCAATCTGAAGAAGAAGGAGAAGAAGATGAACAAAACTAGCCCCATACATCTATGACGCAAGGCACCATGCCCATCCCTATATCACTAGTACTTAGTTTACAAGTAAATTAAAAATCCTGCAAAAGAGGCATATAGGGATGGTATAAAAAGAAAGGGAGACAAGATAGGGATTGGGATACATGGGATACATGTAGCATGGTTAATGAACAGATTTGAGTACGCTGACACCCCCAACCTTATCACACAATCCCTATATTGTTGCCTGGTGTGCTACTCTTATAGGGGCTAAAGGTTACTAAAAGAAAGCATTCTTTCACCATGTCCGTGTTGTTTTAGTACTGCCACGTTCCCTTTAATTAAACTCCACTTGGACTCTATAAGGGTGTTGGTGACTCGGTAGTGTATTGTACGTACGTTCTGAGTATTGTAATGGTGAATGTTTAATACTTCACCTAGGCAACAATATAGGGATTGTGTGATCGGGTTGGGGGTGTCAGCGTACTCAAATGTGTTACCCATCCCTATCTTTTTATACCATCCCTATATGCCGCTTTTTTTAAATTCGCAGGATTTTTAATTTACTTGTCCCACTCATTTTTATATACTACTACGTATTATCTCAGTGGAAGGGGGCAAGACCCTATAAAATTTATAATGGAGAAAAAATGCCTGTTGTCGTCATGGAAATAATATGCATACCATGTTTCATCTCCATGCGTGCTGCTGTTAGCAAGTTTGAGGAGTGAAGAAGTAATTTAAAAGAAAAGTGCCTGGGGCTATTTGTTGTTGTGGTCGTCGTGGAAATGATGTAATGCACATGCGCACCAAGTTTCACCTCCATGCGTGCTACAGTTAGCAAGTTTGAGGAGTGAAGAAGTAGTTTTAAAGAGAATTGCCTGAGGCTTTTTCAAACAATATGCGGTCGGCATGGAAACAAGTAATCGTCATGGAAATGATATAATAGGCATACATACCAAGTTTCATCTCTATGCGTGCTACCATTGGAAAGTTTGAGGAGTGAATAAGTAAATTTAAAGGAAAGTGCCTGAGGCAATTTGTTGCTATTATACAAACATGTGTTGTTGTGATTTTGTTGTTGGCTATTGAATACATTATGTATACAAACTTTCGTTCACATAACTCTTACCAAATTGTGAGTTACACTGACACATCTAGTATGCCCATTAAAATGTATTGTCCATTATAATGTATTGCCTGGGGCACTTATGTTGTTGTTTACAAACAATGACATTGCACATGTGATTATCGATATGTACATTCCTATAAAATTTCATGGCTCTATCTCTTTCGGATTTTGAGTTATGCTGGTTGAAGAAGAAGAAGATGATGAACAAAACTCCTTATCATAGGCTTCATAGCCCAATTCATCTATAATGCTAGGTACCATGCCCACTACCGTACTTAGTGATAGGGATGACACAGGTCATCCTGCATTATGCCCATACATTTGAGATTTTCAGTTTCAATCAGGTCCACTTTTGACACATCAGACTGATCCGTATCGTCACAAAGATCATGTATCCAAGAAATGGCTTAAATTGCATTATTTATTGAAGAAAGTCAGTTTAAAAAATTCTTCTTGTTGTCGTTGTTATATTTAGACACGCGTATCTCAAAAACAACTTAAGGTATGCATATGAAACTTTGCAGAAAGATTGGAATCCGTGACCCAGCGTGCAAGAGCAATTTAAATTTTTTCTTAAACAATTTTGTTTACAAGAAAACAACAACAAATAGACCTAGGTAATACGTATAGGTTAGATGCTGAGCCGCGGGAACTACGCGATTTAGTGAGCCGAGGGCCCTGGGCTGTCGGCGTCCCGAGCGCAGCGAGGGCGCTACTACCAGGGCCCCGAGGCTCACTAAATCGCGTAGTTCCCAAGGTGACGCATCTAACCATCTTAGACTAGAGCGCAGGCGCTAGCAACGCACAACAAAGCACGCGGCATTGCGGATGGGATGGCTTACTGGGGTCACAGATTATGGAGCTTTTTGCTGAGGACGAACTGCAAGTAGGCAGGCTATTTGCAGCGGCCAGCATCCATTTCGAGCAGGCGTACAACAGTAGAGTGTTTGTTCTAGCAGCGGCGGGGCTCGCTAACGCGAAAGTAGGCGGGGCCCCTGGGCGCTTCTCGCACCACTAGCGTGCGCGTCTGGCTCGAGCTGTAGCTAAGGCCCTGTAGTCACGCACCGCTTCCTTCTAGAAGACGGAGTGCCTGGGTTTTCGCGAGAAAGAACCTCTCCAGAGGCTCCGTTTGCCTTGTCTCGCACGGCGTCTCTCGAATTGAAGGCGTGGTTGCCATGACCAAAACGCGTAAGAAAGTACCGCAGGGCTGCGAAATAGTTACCGCGGAAGAGGTCACTAACAAAAATAGTCACCGCTAAACTCGGAATCTGATTGGTCAATTGCGTGTTACCATAGTCTAAATTATGATAGAGACAAATAAAGTGTACTAACTAGGTAGAGGAAATACCCAGAATGATAAAACTTTCTACACATATGCAACCATCATTAGTATCAAAATGTAAACACAACATGTTTGTGCCTATAACTTGCTTATGGTGGGTCCTCTAACAATGAACCTTGGTACACTGATATACCATGATGAGAGTTTATCGAAACAGAAATTACAAGTTTGTAAACAACAATAAACAGCCTCAGGCAATAAATACTTGTAAATGATGTTTTGCCTCTAACTTGCTAATGGTTGGCCCACTAACAATGAAACTTGGTACACTGATGTACCATGATGAGAGTTCATCGAAACAGAAATCACAAGCTTGTTAACAGCAACAAACAGCCTCTGGCAATAAAAACTTGTAAATGGTGTTTGTGCCTATAAATTACTAGTGGTATGTCTTCTAACAATGAAACTTGGTACACTGATTCACCATGGTAGAGTTCATTGAAATATAAATTACAACGTTGTAAACAACAACAAACAGCCTCAGGCAAAATAGACTTTTAAATGGTGTCAGTGTGTATAACTCGGCGATAGCTTAAGGCCACTAATATTACTTTTTTTTTAATGGGCTTATGCCCAACTTCTTATTGCACGCCATGCATGTGAATGCAGTAAAAAAGGAAAGTAGACAAGTAAATTCTTCGAATTAAAAAAGTGTGGATGATGGCTACATACTTTGAACTGACATCGCTTGCTCATGTAAAATTTCCTCCACACAAGCCCTATATTGTCACGACCTTTACTGTTTGTTTAGTGAAGTAGGAGGACAAGTGAAGTGCGAGGACAATGGTGACAGCATTCTGTATGTAGATCGCCAAGAACTCAGCATTGTAGTTGAGCAAATGTAGAAGTCTTAGACTCCACCCAATGTTGTTACAACTGAAAACCGAGCAGATGACTAATGTGCTTATGAAATATCGTAGCTGTGCATAATACAAGGGAGACTTTGCGACAATAGAGGGCTCATGTGGAGGAAATTTTACATGAGCAAGCGATGTCAGTTCAAAGTATGTAGCCATCATCCATTGTACTGCTGCATCATGTTCACTAGGTCATCCCTGTCTTGTCTCCTTACTTTTTATAGCATCCCTATATTCCACACTTTTTAATTCGAAGAATTTTTTAATTTACTTGTACTAAGTACTACCGTACTTAGTGATAAGGGGGCCAAGCCGAACTTGAGGGAGGCGGTACCCCTTCGCGTAGAAGGAGGGCTATCCCTGCGCGGTTGCGATTACCCTGTTGAGTATCACCTTGCCCGTTCAGGGGCTAGTCTGTCTGTAAGGGCCTATTGTACCGGAGATTCCTAGCTACATGGCATTGGCACTACACTGGCCACAGCGTAGCCTTTGGGCACGTAATTATCACTGTGCATGCACCCATGCACGACTACTGGAAACCTGCACATGCTACATGCTTTGCCACTTCAGCCTGCCAAGCTGTGCCAACATTCGTCAACCCAGTTTAACCTAGAATTACACCTTATGTATAGCACTATAGTGCAAACCCTCGGCGAACTGAGCATGCGCGATACTGCTAATTGATGGGCTGGGCTGGCTATTTGTATGTATTTACTCGTGGTCTTCCGCTAGTAGCCCGTGGAGAGTCAGACACGGGCTAGCTACAGTAGTAGATAGCACGCGGGAGTCGATACATGCCATTCGTTGTGACTTCCTGAGCCCCCAAGGTACACAGAGCGAGCGGACCAGGTCGCGGTAAGCCCAGTGCGATTTGGCTTTTTCGCTTGTTTTCACGGCAAACGAAGTCATTTCAGGAAAATCGCCTAATCATTTTTCAGGCTCCCGTAGTTCTGAATCCGCTGATATCGCTAATGGGCTGCCTCGTAGCCTGTAGTGCCAGAATAAGCGTCAACACACAGACAGACAGACAGAACGACTATGTAACCCTCGCTGCACATGCGCGCCGAGGGTTAACAACCTAAAAATTTGCCCATAAAGAGGCACAATCTTTGGTTGCAGGGGTAAAAGGCACTATACTTGAGGAGACTGCACATGAAAAATTATGCACCAAAATAGATTTCGAATAAGCCCTGAACGCATAAAGCTCTCTTGTTTAAGCAGCGTGCATTTCTCAAAACTGAAATGTCCTTTTTTCCATGTCGAAAATGTCCCCATTGTACTGCGCCATGCACAGAACACCCACAGTTGCAAAAACGAAATGGAGGGTTACTGAAATGGTTGAATTCTACTACGCCAAGGAACAATAAAAATAAAAAATTTTGCCTTTGTTTTTAATTAAGAAAAGCACTAAAGTGCAAACCCTCGGCGTACTGCGCATGCGCGGTACCGCTACACGTTGGTGATGGCGGCTGTATAGCTGCTCTCGTCAGGTTTTGGTCTATGCCAGAGCTTTTCATCACAATTAAATGTTCGTGGTTCCTGGCCGTCTTTTGTAACAGTTCCGTAGCTATTGACTGACAAGACATGGACCTACATCCAGCCCGGTTGTGATATTGCTTGGATACCTAAGTACCTCATGAAAGAGGTTACAACCTAAGATCACTGTCTGGCAGAGTGGGGGCTCTACGTTAAGGTTGCTATTAATTGCAGCTACTGACTTTAGCGAGAATCATCGAAATCACTAAATTAATATTTGTACTGTAAATACGCATGCATACTGGGTAATATCCGCGTGGTTAGTTGCCCGCGCTATACGCGTAGTTTCATGTGTTTAATACTCTACTGCAGCTTTACTCTGGAGTCTGGAAACAAAAAGCAGGCCTTGCAGAGCTTTGTGGTTTTACTTTGGGTCAGCTGGAGCACAAGAGAAGGAGGATGAAATTGGATACACGCACAAACTTTGACTGGTTGTCATCATCACAAAATCATACACAAATGATGTGGGGTAAAAAATTGCTATATTTTATATACGCCAAAAATGATCTGTGCAAAACCGCAATTAATAATAACCTTAAGGTATCTGTTGATTGTATGGGTCTGTCTATGCTCTAATACATCCCTACAGAGTCAGAGTAGGGGCCCTATCTTTCACCTTGAGCGATTATTCAGACTTATGAACTTCAAAAAGTTTTGTGTTTTGTGCCATTCCTAACGGGCAGTGCATAATGAACTTATTTTGAATTGATGGGGTGGGCTATCAGTATTGTGGTCTACCACTTACTAGTAGCTCGTGGAGAGTCTGATGCGGGAGTCGATACGCGCCCTTTGTTGTACCTTCTTGTGCCTCAGAGTGAGCGGATAAGGTCGAGGTAAGCAAGCGCGATTATACATATTGGCTTTTTGCTTCATTTCACAGCTTATTCCCTAAAACCCAGTCGTTTCAGGAAAATCGCATTTTTATTATTCAGGCTCACTGAACCCGTTTGTGTCGCTCATAGTCTGCCCCGTAGCCTGTCGCATGAGAATAGGCGTCCACAGACAGACAGACAAACATACAGACCAAGTACTGTAACCCTCGCTGCGCATGCGCGCCAAGGGTTCATGAGTTCATGTCCCAAAAATAGGATCTACAGGAGCGGAAAAAATTAGACATCGTTCACGCATCCGCGCATACCTGCGCAATTGCGTTTGGCGTGTTTGGAGTGAAAAAATACCTACATGTTCTGCACTATTATCAGCTACATTTACATGGAACAGGTCATGTAGGAATGACTTCTATTTAATGCACCCACAGCTATACAACTCATCTGAAGTGCAAACCCTCGACGCACTGTGACGCGCACGCGTAAGTAAACACATGTGCCGTACCACTAATTGGTGGGCTGGGTTTAGTTTTAGCTGTTACTCGTGGTCTCTTGCCAGCTCGCGCAGAGTCTGACGCGGGCTAACTACACTACTAGATAGCATGCGAGAGGCGATACACGCCCTGCGTTGCATCTTCTGGTGCCTCCGAGGTACGCAGGGCACGCGGAGCGATCATGCCGTAGTAAGCCGTTGTGTATTTGAATATTGCCTTTTTTGTGCTCTAGCTTTGCAACGGAGCGTTTTCAGGGAAAACCGTTCGAATTTTCTGACCTTCATTGCCCGTTAAGTAGGTGGTATCCTTTGTGAGACGAACGAACACTCGAGAAGTGAGATGACGAGTAACAGACAGACAGACAGACACACAGACCCAACTACAGTAACCCTCGCTGCGCTTGCGCGCCGAGGGTTAATGAGGTATTAATAGCAAAAAATATTTTCTTCTTCCTTCAATTCGACCCATGTAGTTTTTACAAATTTCAGCTACCCATTCATGTGGTAACGAGGTACAAAGGCAAGGCGAGGCAAACAAGTCAACTACGCCCAGGACAGCTCTTTCTTTTCATAGAAAATAAGAAGAGTTGCCCTAGGTGGGATTCAAACCCACGACACTCTGCAGTCTAGGCGAGTGCTCTACCAACTTAGCTACCACGGCAACTCAGCTGGTATGGGTTCAAATCTACAACACAACACAACACAACACAAGGCAAACCTCAAACCACTGTGCTATGGCACAGTAAACTCTCACTCAGTATGTAGGAGCAGACCGGGGTAATTAAACCACCAAAGGTGCCCAACTCCAAACTGAGTATATGCATGTCAACAATTTGGTAACAAGGTAGAAAGGCAAGGCAAGGCAAACAAGTCAACCACGCCCAGGACCGCTCTTTCTTTTCACATGTATGAGTACTCACAAGGTCTGTCCCAAGATCAATGCAGAGAATAGTAATTGTTCCGAGAGGAAGTGGAACGTTAGCCACTATGAAGAAGAGAAATGGTGTCAGTTCTGGAATATTAGATGTAAGAGTGTAGGCAATGGACTTCTTCAGGTTATCAAATATAAGTCTTCCTATACAGATGAAAAGGTAACAACAGGTAAATGCTCAGTTCGCCTGTTAGTTGAGACACACAAACCTTCCTCAACTCCTGTCACAATTGAGGCAAAATTATCATCAAGTAGTATCATATCAGCTGCCTGTTTTGATACATCTGAGCCTGTTATTCCCATTGCAACACCTGAAAAAGTTATTAAAAAAACACAAATGAGGCATATGCATTATGTTAGCCTTTTGGGTCACTTTGCTCCTGCCAGTACCAAAAGATGGAGAAGTTTATCTAATTCTCACGTGAAGGACTAAAACAGTCAATAAGTGCTATATTTAGCTTGGCACAAGCAATGCAAGGTGTGCCTCTGTATTTGGAGATGTTGCAGGTAGGCTTACAAGCAATGACGGTTTTTGGAGCTAAATACATTGCCGTGTTACTGTTGAGTATGTGTTTTGGCTATAAAGAGCACAGACTATAAGCGGGTTACTGGGATTGTACCAGTCAAATCCGTCTTCAAAACACATTCCCAACAGCGTTATACAACGAGTGACACAATACCTCATTTGTGCCCACGCCTCACAATGAAGTGATCTGAAAACAGGCCCTTTGATATTTCGAACAAGCAATAGTCAGTCATCAAACATACATCAAAACCTATATGGCAACGGTCCACCTGCGTGATAACCAAAATTAACTTTCCCAGATAACAAATCGGACTATATATTCTTCTAGAACACTAAAGTTTTAGAAATAAGTGGCTGTATTCCAGAAGTCTGCAGAATTATGCACTAACACAAGCCATTGTATCACTCCTGTGTCCAGGTTTGTGCATTGAAGTTGTATCTCTCCGCAAACAGATGCTGAGGTTTAACACATACTTGGCTTCATTGAATAACAAGATGGATAGTCATGTATGCATACCAATATTAGCACGTCTGAGGGCAGGAGCATCATTGACTCCATCACCTGTAACAGCTACCACCCACCCTGCCCTCATACATCCTTCGACAATACGTAATTTTTGAGTTGGAGATGTCCGGGCAAAAACAATCTCTTCATAACCAGTGAGTATATTATCAACATCTTCATCACTCATATGCTGCAGAGGAGAGAAATATGTGGTCTAGGTACACAGGTTTCATAGTGATTTGGTTTATGCCATAATAAGTTGTAAGTTAGAGAGTCAGAATACCCAGTAATGACTGATCAAAATAACATTAATGACACACTTTAAACTGACTGCATATCATTACATGATGCACATTACTCGTGAACATACATTAAATCACTACAACGTTAACTTACATTTAATTCCCCTCCATGAACAATTATAGCTTTTGGTTCGCTGTGAGGATATCAATGACAATGTGCTGACAGTCCCAAAAATGTCTATCTCACATCATGCATATTAGTGATGGGTAAGCATTTTCGTACTGAAATACACCAAGGTATGGCTTGGTGTGAGAACTGACACATTGAATCTTATTACTACGTAGCAGCAAACTTTGACATACGTAACTGCGATAGCACCAGAACTTGTCGGGCTGGGTGCACCATTATTTTTAACGTAATTTTTCTCTCAAGCAGTGGTAACTAGAGCAAACAGAGTCATAGAGAGTAATAGTTGGGTGTAGCCTACAGAGGAGACAGAGTGGTGGATAGGTTATCCATAGAACTGCTTGCAAGATCGGCAGTGATATTCTGCTTATCTTATTTTCTGCTTATGCCATAGGGAGATACCTATGGCATCCAAAGGGTTAAAAGACCCATGCATGGACTCTAACTACGACAACTTTCACTTCTGCCATGTCTTGTCCACACACTCAACTTCGCGTGGCAGCTCTGCGTGTGGTCTACCACCTATGTTGACTGTGTATGCCTCTCTCAGTATATACAGTAGTACTTTGTGTATAGGGATGGGCATGGTACCCAGCATCAAGTCTCGTCTCCAGACCCGACCAACAAGGCAAGAAAGGGTTTGGCTGCTTTTGTGCGAGATAATGTTTTAGGAGAGAGAAATTACATGTTCAGACGTAGGTAAGCTAGCCAGAGAGCTCTTGCTTCTTACGAACTTGCTAATAAAATGGGTGGGAAGACTTAGTTTGCATCATCAGAATCGGAGAGATCAGTACTTACAACATGCAAATGGTAATTCGTAAACATTATACATGTGTACTGAGTCTTCCTCATGACACTTAATATAATTATAAGACACTTTTAAGTTTTTTAGAACCTTCAACTTACAGCATACTATTTTCATCTCTAACTTCATCTTGTGTTGTATTACCTAACCAAAAAGACTTGATATATAACATTAAGTATGGTATGTAGGAGAAGGGAAGGTGTGAATAGAAAATAAATAAGTAGAAGGGATTCAGACGACTGTAGAGTCATTGCACAAGTGTCCCGCATATGGAAATTTGTTTTTAAAACTAGAAGTACCAACATGGGTGCTTTCGTTCGTGCAAATAACGGTGCAACTTGAAACTTGGTATATCGACACCCTATGCATAGGTCTATAAAACTGCTGCAGAGTTGTTTACCCCACGTCACTCATTTCGCGAAGACGAGCCCAAGAATCTCACAGGAAGTCAGATCGCCATTGATTACGTGAAGGAATTTGTGTGTGCATACACTTTCCGTAAATTCTGTACACGGGATGCTTGCTGAACGACTGTGTGTATCACAAAGTAAAGTACTTCGAGTTTCCAGCCTCATTGGTGTGCAACTATGTATTGTTGGTGTATGTGTATGTTTACGTATTTGGTTGTCATTATATCGCCTATTTTGATTTACTGCACGGTAATTTAGAATAGAGAGAGTAAGATGTTTTGAGAAAATGGCAAAACTGAACAGCTCGAAAAATAAAGTCCGCTATCCACGCTAATCGCGAGAGAGCTCATACAACTGTTGATAAGTGAAGAGAGATATGAAGATTCTCAAGCACAACGACTAGTGCAAAGCTCACAAGCCATGGTTATTGTTGAGTCGGCATGAGTATGATGGAACATTCCATGTTTGTTTTGCAAGTGGTAAAATCTAATGGGGGCCGAAACAAATTTGACAGATATTCTCACAAATTTGTTTTAGCAAGAGGAGTGGCGTTGCTAAATTTGACCAGTTATTAAGTTGCCCGTGTCTCGATTTGGTAACGCATTCTACCATGCACACCGTCAGTTCATTCTTGCTTGTTGGCCGAAGTTATTTAATGGTCACGTTATTGTTCCTGCAGATGGGTTATTGCCTCAACACCAGTCACTGTTACTGAATCTCTTTGGTGTTAATGTGTGAATACATTATCAGCACATCGTACAATTTATGTATCGTATCACACAGCACAGCAACTTGTGTATCATGGGGCATATCCATGTCTAGTTCATGATCCCTTCCTATAGCTCTTGTACATGTCCATCTTGTTTATTAACCCTCAGCGTGCATGCACAGCGAGGGTTACAGTAGTTGGTTTGTCTGTCTGTGTGTCGATACTACAAGCTACGAGGCGTCCTATTAGCGATAGTAGCGGCTTCAGAACTACATGCTAGGTCGGAGGAAATGCAAACATCCAACCATACAAGCATTCGTCGAGCAGAGACCAGTGCATTTGTCAGCTAGCACATGCATATTTAGGCGAGTAAAGCCAGTTTTTCAGAGTGCAACATCAGGTCCCCAAGTTGCGTCTGTGGAAGTCGTGCGGCACCTTGCACTTATGGTCCTTAACCTCTGTTTTTGTGTGCTAGGAGTGTTGCGTGTAACATGATTTGCTACAGCCCCTCAATAGGTTCAATGTAAGGTACTAAAGTGCAAAACCACGGCAGACAGCGCATGCTGGGTATGACTAATTGATGGATTGGGCCAAGAGTACTCCTATATAGTCTCCACGCTAGTAGCTCGCGACACGGGCCGGATAGCTACACTGGTAGATAGCATGCGGGAGTCGATACACGCCCTTAGTGCAATTATGCATATTGGCTTTTTCGCTTGTTTTCACGGCAGATCCCTCAAATGCAGTCGTTTCAGGAAAATTGCTGTTTCGTTTTTCAGGCTCGCGTACTGCCCCAAATCTGCAGCCACCAGCCCCTCCTTCCCGTAAGTTAATCTTACTTCCTCATCTACCATAGCATATGCAGAACGGTCTTTCTACCTGTTGCAACACAAGTTAAAGGTCATTTCAATATTCCAGTCTAGTGTTTAGAGACTCCCGCGTATTTTTGTCAGTGTTATAGTTCCATGCAGGTGTGTGGAGTAAATTTTATTGCATTGCTAGATAGTGATAGACGCAAAGGGAGACATAGTCATAACAACGATTTCATGGGACAAATAATAGGAGGTGTATGAAATCAAAGTTGCGAGTGATTAAACAACTGAGACAGTCCACCGACTGACTACCTTGAGGTTAATTGAACGTGTTACATACCTGGACTAATAATCCCAACCATCCTAGCAATTGATTTTGCAGTGATAGGGTGGTCTCCAGTCACCATTATTACCTAATGTTGTGTGCATGGCATATATTGCTGTTAACATAAAATGACACAATGAGATCACAAGAAAAGAGTGGAAGAACAGGGCAAGAAATTATACACCTCGTCTCTACTTCTTAATGTTTAAGCGTTTGTGGGGACATTTGAGCGTGTATGTGCACATGGCATTTCGCAGAAAATTAGTTCTGTGCTCTGCTAGATCAAATTTGTGCACTGCAAACTCTGATAAGATCTTCCTATCATGTTGTTTTAGCCATGAAGGGGCGGATAACCGGAAGGCTTTATTGTCTACAATATATTTCCTCGTACGTCAAGGTTTACCTCTACTCGGAGCTTGCCACGGATGTGGTGAATGTTGTGCAACTGTTAGAGCAGCACAAGCTTGATGGCTAAGCACACCTCAAGATAGTTATCTATTCCAATGTCACAAAATGATAACTAATGAAAATCATGGCATCAACTATCCTCAGAAAAACAACTTTTAATTAAACTAGCTCGCAACATTTCTCCATTATGAGCAAATTGATAAAACCAACACAGAACAATCTGTGTTTCGATTAGGTATGTCATGATAGTTAGAAAAAGTATGGCCTTGAGTCAAAAAGCATCACAAAGCATCACTCATACAGCTGTGCACTACCTGACTATTCGTAAAAGCAACAGCTAGACCTAGGGCAGAGCTAATCCTCATGGCAAATATTAAAGTGGCTGAAAAGACCTGAACACTTTTAAAAAAATAACCCCTGAATGAAACAGGACAAAATTTAAATACAGACACCTTCGTCTGCCCAATTGCAGCATTCCAGAGGTTGTGGAGAGAGAAGCAAATCATCCACTACAACTTACGCTCTACGTATGTACTATAACCTCAAACACAGAGTTCATGATGGAAGCTGACTGTACAGAAAACACAGTTAAGGAGGACTGAATACACAATGCCAATGTTACTGAGCTGCTATACTATAATTGAGCTATCTCCAACGAGTGCTTTCTTTTAAACATCAGCCGAAAGGCTATCTGTCTCTCTGTAATACCTCTAGCTTGCCTTTTGTACTAGTTAATGACATCATGGCAAAATTCTGCTGTCACGCTCCCATTCCCCTTTGCCCCTCCTCAAACAAATACCAAAGGGTTTTTAAAACTTGAGGCTTCACTACAACCATAATCTCTACAGATGCCACTTCCTTATTGTTGACTATCGTCGTAACTCAGCAACACTTGAAAAAATACAAGGCAGTATTATCAATCTGCCCGTCCCTAGACTCAATCTGTTGCTGACTTCCGCTGTATGCCTTGTGCGTTGTTGTTGAAATGCATTAATAATGTTAATGAAAAGCGCTAAAGTGCAAACCCTCGGCGAACTGCGCATGCGCGGTACCGCTAATAGATGGGCTTGGCTATTAACGTTTACTCGCGGAGAGTCTGACACGGGCTAGCTACAGGTTATAGACTTTACTCCAGTCAATTCAGGGTCAGACAATTAGTGCCCCACGTCATACAAGAACTAAAGTGCAAACCCTTGGTACAAGACGCTTGCAGCAGCCAACCCAGCCCTTACTGTACGCTATAAACCATGCACGAGCAAAAAGCGCCACTAATTGATGGGCTGAAACTCACAACCAGTCTTCTTAGGAATATGTAGCTACATAAGAGAGCTGGATTCACCAAAGTAGCATTGGTCAGCATCAAAATCATTAGACATTGTAGTAGTTTGTGACAACATCAGTTGTAGCAGATGACAACATGTTGAGGTGCTTTAAAAGCAAAGGAATAACACTATGCCAATGGTCCAGAAGCTGTGGTGTGCACAACTTGTCTCCTTCCTACCTCACATCCTCTTTCTTCACATTGACCTTATAGTCCCGAAGCCATTATACAACTTACTGTACTTATGGTTACTATGACATGCAGCTGATAAGGTGTTACATTTAATAAAGGATACCAGCATAACCAGAGAGTTGCAAGCAATCTAAATAGCGCTTGTGTTATGTAAAATCATTGGCATAATACAATGAATCCTGCATAATATAATACAATTACCTTGATTCCAGCCTGACGACACTTAGTTACAGCTTCGGGCACGTTCGATCTTGGAGGGTCTATTAGGGACATTAGACCAACAAAGCACAGTCCTTTAACCGGGAAGTTTTCCTAAAAAACACATGTTAAAATCACACAATGTTGTTAAATTACGTAACCTACATTAATTACTATGTAACAAGTTATGCTCAAAGAAGTTATTCTACAGAGGACGGCATTGTGAACAATCCTTACACTTCTTTAACACGTGATTGATCAATTGATCAAAGAAATAGATTAATGACCACAACCAAGATGCAAACAAATGGACATAAGAAGAGTGAAGCAGCAGCAGCTAGAGTAGTCTGGTTCCCAGCCCTTGTGCACATGCGTGAGAGAGGGAAGGAAGGGTCTGGTAAATGTCTATACCCCAGCACAGATGCTGGAATTGAATTACATGGCCTTAATTGTATCAAGTGTTCCGGTCAAAACGTTACACTATGATTCTCCTTGCTATAAGCCCCTAGCTGGCTGCTGTAGCGATGCAGAGTAAACCTCGGAGTAAACAGCTATTACTGGTGTTTGTACAGCATGTGGCAAAGGTTTGAAGACTGTCAAAGATCGTAGAGTGCTGAGTGGGACATCGTTTCTAGTAACAAATGCGCTGGATCGCGCTGTCCATGCTTTCATCGTCGAAACAACTTGGGACAGGACTACCCGCTAGCTACGTCGACCTCAATGGGTGGCTACGGGAAGTGCTCACGTAATGGGGAGTTGTGGCTTGTAATTGCATTTTTAACACCTTCTTTTGCATTCCACCTAAGGATCCGCGCTGGGGTATAGACATTTACCAGACCCTTCCTTCACTCTCGCACGCATGCGCACAAAAGGAAGGGGCTGGGAACCAGACTACAGCTAGAGACGAACGATAGTGACTCTGTCTTCTTTCTGGTTGTGCGTGGGTGATGTCTGTGCGTGCACGTGCACGTGGACGACACGTCAATGTAGATTCAGTTGTTGATTTTGTTGTTTACATGTACATTTTTGTTGTGTTTTCTTGTTGAATCTGTAGGTTTACTATTTTTGCTGTACTAAACCCTGTCAAGGTTTACCACGGGATTTAGTAAACCTCGGCTTTGCAATCAGATTGGTCAATTCGAACCTAGCTCAATCTAAACGGTGGTGGTTACTCAGGAGAATTACACTTTTGCACTCTTTCAGTTACAGAACATTGTTGTGGCCTGTATATTTAAGCTGTAGGTCCTGCTTAAACTCACAATATAGAGATTGTGTGATAGGGTCGGGGTTGTAAGCATGCTCTCATCTATTTGTAAACCATCCTTATCTTGATATAATTCATAACTCTTGTCTCCTCTAATTTATGTACACCCACAGTGGGAGTCAAAAAACGTTTCCATTTTCGTTCCTTTTCTATTTCCGTTTGCCGTTCATTATCGTTCTGTTTCCGTTCAGTTTAGCCTGTGTTGAATTCCGCGTGACACACCCACCACATCTGCGGTAGAGAAATCGCTAGCAGGGGAGCGAAACAAAGCTTTTCTTAGCGCAAACGCGAAGCAACGAGAAGGCAGTACCCGCGCAGGTGCTAAAAGAAATATATTCACAGTGATACCTTTGCACCTTGCGAAAGACGGCTCTCACTCGAATGCATATGTACTCATGATACTAAACGGAACTGAACGAATTCCCACGCTAAATAAACGGCATTTCAGAAGGGAATAGAAGCTTAACAAAACGGAACAAAATTGGTACATCTCTTTGAAAGGGGGCAAACCCCTATAATTAGACCTCATGAAAACGATGCAATGATGTGCCATGGAGAAGATGTCAACTGTTTTTCACTCCAAATGAGCTACCGTTAGCATAATCAAGAAGTGACTTCTGAAGGAAAGTGCCTATAGGGCTATTCATTGTTGTTAACAAACATGTATAGTCATTATGGATATGATGTAATACGCATCTGCACTAAGTTTAATCTCCATGGGTACTACCGTTAACAAGTTTGAGGAGTGAATAAATAAAAGTGCCTGAGGCTATTTGCTGCATAGATTCAGGAGTCAAGAAGTGATTTTAGTGCCTATATAGGGCTAGTTATTGTTGTCTACAAAAATGTAGTCATTATGGGTATGATGGCATGTAAACCATGTTTAATCTCTATGTGTGCTACCGTTAACAAGAACTTTGAGCAGTGAAGAAAGGAAAGCTATCACCAAGTACGGTAGTTCCTTCTCGGAGTCTTCCTGGTCTAGACAAGATAGTATCTCCTCGCTGAACTGCTCGCCTGGCGTCGCCAAACAGTTTGAATGGATCTAAATCGGTTAGACACGCCGCCACGGTGAACTACGCGTGGTTGCGTGTCTCGCGCTCCATAGTAGTGCCTTCGCTGCGCTCGGGACGCCGACAGCTCGGGAGCCATCGCCACTCTACCACGCGTAGTTACCTCGGCTCCGCATCTAACCTATATTTCTTGTTGTGCAGTTTCAACAAGCGTATCTAAAAAACCAGGTAAGATATGGAGAAACTTCGCACAAAGATTGGAATCCATGACAGGTCGTGCTTTAGCATTTCAATTTGTTTGTAAACAACAAAAACCACAAAAAATAGCCCAAGGTCATACATTATAATCGAGACCAAAAAAGTGTTCTAACTTGTTAATGCCAACAAGTAAATTAAAAATCTTGCGAATTTAAATTCTTTTTAGTACGCTGTGTACGTTGTGTGAATATACACGAGCAAGCAATGCCAGTTTGAAGATGTAACCAATCATCCCATTCTACTACTGCATCACATACACTAGGTCATCCCTGTCTTGTCTCCTTGCTTTTTATGGCATGCCTATATTCCACACCTTTTTAATTCGAATAATTTTTTATTCACTCGTTTATTGTAAAATGTCATCGGGGTGTTGAAATAGACATGTCTACAAAGTATCATCCACTATTGGCGATTACTTGCAAGCGGACAAGCTAACCCAGTCGTCCGACTTTTCTATGAACTGCAACCACTATTTATGGGAAACCGTCATTAGCCCTCGGCGCGCATGCGCAGCGAGGGTTACAGTAGTTGGGTCTGTCTGTCTGTCTGTTTGTCTGTCTGTTAGTCCACATCTCACTTCTCGAGTGTTTGTTCGTCTCACAAACCATACGACCTACTCAACGGGCAACGAAGGTCAGAAAATTTCGAAAAAGCCAATATGCAAATACGCAACGGACGGGAAGGCTTACCGCGGTCTGATCCATCCGCGTGCTCTGCGTATATACCTCGACCAGAAGATGCAACGCAGGGCGTGTATCGCCTCTCGCATGCAGACTCTGCGCGAGCTGGCAAGAGACCAAGAGTAACAGCTAAAATTAAACCCAGCCCAGCCATTAGTGATACAGCGCATGCGTTTACTCACGCGTGCGCGTCACAATGCGCCGAGGGTTTTGCACTTCAGTGCTTTTCATCTAAATAATATATTCTTAGCCCTGCATTCATGAGCACTGTCTGTTGTACCTTTTCCAAATCAAAACTGTAACCTCTTGGATAAAGATCTGGCTGAAGAGCTAGATGGGCAAACCTATAACAGAACGTAAAGACATCGGTAAACTTTAATGTCATAGAGGATTTGTCTCTCTGTTAACTAATATTTTCCACATGGCATGCCCTAGCCTAACTATCAGTAGGGTCTACAGCGCAAACCTCTTGTATCAAAGGGTTTGCACTTTTTGCTCATCATTAACGTTCTGCGTCGCATGTGCAGCGAGGGTTATAGTACTTGGTAGGTGTGTCTGTCTGTGTTTGTGTCTGTTACCACGTTTTCTGCGACTACGCGCAACGAGACAACAAAACAGTGATACCAACGGGTTCATCGCTACATTGGCTTCATTTTAATAAAGGTGATTTTCGTTATAATCACTGTGTTCAAAAGTTATGGCGTGAAAAGCAAGTCAACAAGCCAATATGCAAATTTGCACAGGCTTAACTCTACCGCGTCCGCTTGCTCTGTGTATCTTGAAGGCACTAGAAGTAACAATGGGCATGTATCGACTCCCCCATGCTATCTACTACTGTAGCTAGCCCGTGCAAGACTCTCTCCTAGCTACAAGCTGCAGATACCACGAGTAAAGGCATAAAAAGCCCAGCCTATCAATTAGTGGTACCGCTCATGCGCAGTTCGCCGATGGTTTGCACTTTAGTGCTTTTCATTAAGTTGGCATCAATTATACGTTTTGTAGGATGATTAGCCCCGTGCCCCTTGCTTCACACACTCATTAGTATTTCTCCTCAACCAGAGTTGAAATATTCGTTGCAATTATGCACAGTAGGGTTATTTCTGTCTCATACAGTGCGTGAGAGCCTAGTAGAGCCAGTAAAGGTTCCCATTTCTTGGATATGACTTCAAAACAACCACTCCACATTTCTCCCCCCCCCCATTATTGAAAGGAGAAGCACTTTTATGCCACCCTTCAGGTTTAACATTTACTTCTGAGGGCTTACCCTTTAATTTTATCAACAGTAAAGCTTGAATGACACTTGACCTTAAAGCTTCATATCCACATCTCGCAGTTGTTTCGATTGCGCCTTTCAGGACATGAAGTTGGACGATGACGTCATTCAGACATTGTCGCCAACGCTTGGTTCGTTTATAGGCGCCCTTTCGGCACACACGTGTCACGTCTGCTGAGTTGGCAGTGCTGGCTTCGTGGACAAGACTCCGCTGAGCGTTTTCGTCCAAGCAGTTTCAAAATCAATCTGTGAATGCCAACAGTGTTACGTTCCCAAGTAATGTGGTCGACTCAAGCGGTCATAGGATTTACTTGAGACTATTCTCAGAAACAGATTTGCGCCAGAAAAAGGACAGATGCACTATACCCAGGGAACTAAAAGTTATTCTACTTCGCATCTTTTTTCATATGTGTGGCAGGGCAAGAAAGATGGTGGTTTTCTGATACAAATTCTTCATGTAAGTTAGTCTATGTGTAGCTAATGTCACTCTTCTGCGATCTTTCTGTGCTTTGTCTGCGGCAACATAGCTGGGTAGGCCTTTCAGAAGGTGGTCGGTAACTCGTAGCCTCTCCACGCGGTCGTGGCGCTGGTTTAACCTTTGTTCTATCCTGTTGAATTCTGCGTGGATACTCTCTGCCCCTTGGTTGCCCATTACCCCAAATCCGACTCCACCCCACTTCCTTATCCAAGGTGCCATGTGGTCCTCCAAAAGATGGGTCACAGTTGCTTGTAGGTATGTGTTTCGGTAGTGCTGAATGAAGGCCTTTCAGAAGATTGCATACTACGTTCAATATACCTGGAAAAAAAAACTACCAAGAGTTGATATCATTGCTGCTGAAAGGGGTACTTGCTGCTGTATTGATTGTGGCATGCTTCAAACAAGGTAAAGAATTGTCGACAGAGTGCTCTGGCCAATATCAAAAGGGTGGGCACTCCTCCAAACCACTGTCACCAAAAACTGACATAGTGTGTTGATATTTTCAGCCTAGATACAGAGTGTGACATTGCGTCAAGTGCAATGATTATGTGTGTGTGTACCTCGAGACACCTGTGAACATGGTTGGCTACAAACGTCCTATATACCGTAGTAGGCTTCACGTTGGACATTGAAGCTTTTGAGAGCTCTGTCGAGATCTATGATGAAACAACCTTCCTCCATCCTTAAGCCTTTCTCTCTATGTCACTCTTGATCTTATCAATCTCTCTGTCATTTTATGTGTGTGTATGCAAACCAGTTCGTGTGCCTTCTTCCTGTACTCATCAATGCTCTGTTGCAGATCACGTGCAAAATCTTCTGAAGTGGCTGTTAGAGCCATTCTTGTGACCAACTCATCCAGCTCTGCTATGGCCTGCATGTGGGCATCTCTCTCTTCGGTGAGTTGGTGGAAATTCTCAAATATTTTTGCTATAGTCGATAAAAGTTCTGTTGCCCAGCTTTCCACTTCTACGGTCCTCTGCTGTGCCAATCGCAAATCTGACTAGTGATCCAACCATATAAAGTGCCTTCTCACCCTGCCTCTTGTAGCTATAGTGAGGATGTTGTAGCTATAGTGAGTTTGTTAATTTTCTTGCAAAACCTCCTGCAGCTGACAAGGTGACTTGGGAGCTTCAGCAGCACAGTTGTAGCAGTCATTATCTGGGTGGTGTGCAAAGCATGTGACTGGATGAAACAAGGATAAGGAAGAGGATCCAATGTGATAGTATGTTGCACCCAAGCATGATGTGCTCCACATGGGAGTTGCAGAGGTCTGACTAATATCTCTAGACAGAGTAGACCCCCTTAACGTCACCAAGTGTGAATGGAGTGTTTGGTGGAAGGATGTACTCCAGGGTGATGTGAGTTGGTGGACCAAGTAGAGAAATGGTCTTCTCTGATCTCTGCCATGGTCCTGTGCAACCCTCACAGCTCCTCTTTCAAGGTCTGCCAGCCTGCTTTGACCCACAAAAGTGCTCACATTCTATTTTAGAACAGTTGTCTTGTGTGTACATACATTTATAAATTTTTTCAAGAGTGTGTTTGTTCCAAACTGGACCTTGTTGGGCCCCCCTTGTTGTCTCTCCTCAGAAAGCATGGCAGAATTGTGGGGGTTAATTGCAGGATCTTCTCTCTCCACCAAGACACCTAGACAGCCCGCTGTACTTGCTCTCCCTACTACTGCAGTGCTGCACTAAAGGTCCACGACCAACGGCCCAGGCAATTAAAGCGCTGCAGTTTCGCAAGTAGAAACTGAATTCCTTGTACTATTTATCTGGCTAGTCAGGGTCAGGTACGGTTAGCTAGACCAAGAATCAGAGTATTAGGTCTCTTGGTAGCACAGAGGCAACAGAAAGACAGACAGACAGGCAGACAAACAAACAAGGTAGCGTACAACCCCCTATTATCGCCACAAGCGTACGGGACCAAATATCGCCATTCGCGGCTGTAACGGGAATATTAAAGGAGCTACCCATTCCGACGCATGCGCATTGGATAGAGCTCGACAGGTGCTCTTTTTTGATACCCGATTCAAGCTGGGTAGACGCTGGAGAACAGCTCTAGGGCCATCAAGAGCGGACAAGGTAATTTTTAACTAAGAGCTTACTTATCCGTTTGTGGGCGACAGCGTAGTGTGCGTGAAAAAAGAGATCTATGGGCCATATTACGGTACCTACATAAACTAGCGGTACTAACCTCTATTATTGGTCCATTTTCCGGTGCTATACACATGCAGAATGACAGATTATGGCCAAAGTAAGGTCAAGAGACGTCAATGGAACCCGCAAGATATGGAGGCTGCCACGAGAGCCGTGCAGCAAGAGGGAAAGACGGTGAGTGCTGCAGAACTCCGTCCCACGAAAGACCATTGACGACAGGATTAGGGGCCGTGTAATCCACGGCAGCAATCCAGGTCCCTCCACTGTCCTGACGGCCAGAGAAGAGGATGCTTTGGCCTCCTACCTCCTCCACATGGCTGAGCGTGGCTTCCCTCTCACATCAAACATGGCTCGAGCTTTCGCATGGGCTGTGTCTTTGCGTTCCGGTACCAGTGAACGTCTTAATGAGGAGACGGGCCCAGGGAAGCACTGGTGGAGCAGCTTCCGTGCAAGACATCCAGAGCTGATGCTTCATACGGCAGATAATCTCGAATGTAGCAGAGCAAATGCATTGACAAAGGAGGTTGTTGACGGCTATTTTGAGACTCTCACACTTGAGGAGAATGACCTCGTCAATGTACCAAGACAACTGTTCAACTGCGACAAAACCTTCCTGCCCCATAACATGTCGTGGGAGAAGGTGATCCCGGATGAACACCAAGCATGTCTACGCTCAGTCAAGAGGCACATCTGAACACATCACTCTTCTCTGTGGTGCCTCCGCTGCCAGAGTTGCCTTGCCACCAATGATTATCTTCTCAAAGTCTTTTCCAGGGGGTGCATACAAGTTCGATGGTCCTGATGACGCAGTGTATGCTATTGACAGTGAACTTTTCATGGTCTGGATGAAGAAAGTATTTCTCCAGTATTGTGGCTCACAGCGTCCAGTGCTGTTGTTTGTTGATGGACATGCTAGCCACATCACAATTGACGTCATCGATTTAGCACGTGAGAATCATATTATAACCCCCCCACACACACACGACGCACGCTCTTCAACCCTTGGATGTATCTGTTTTCAAGTCATTAAAGTCACATTTTAGCAAAGCTGTCTATGCTTTGTCGTTCGCAAAGAAGGATTTTGTTGTGTCAAAGTGAGAGTTTGCTCGTATGGTCAAAACACCCTTCGAAAAAGTGTTTTCCATGTCGAACATCAAGGCTGGATTTGCGAAGTGTGGCATACATCCTTTTGACCCTAATGCCATAGACCAGAGCAAGGTTTTGCCGTCTTTCAGTTCCTATCTAGTGCAGGGGTTTCCTCAGGCTCGGTTGTAGGTGCAGACAATAGTCTGAACACGTCTGCATTATCAACATCTGAGGAATCACAATTACCAAGTGTGAACCCCTTGCCAATCGTCTCATCCCTTTTATCTCATGCTGATGATGGGTATAGCTCTCTCCAAGTCTTGTCAGGTTGCCTAACCTCTACTCCTGTAGCTTTTGGGTCTGCCGGCTCTCAAAATTCCTCCCATAATCAGCACAACACGACTCCTCGTTGCAGACCACAGATTGAGAATCCTCCAGTTAGAGTTGGGCTTATTCCGCAAGATCTGGCCGACATATTTCTTTCTCCCCAAACTGATGAAAGAGACAAACGTCCTTCTCGTCGTATCACTGGGGTCCAGGTGCTCACATCAAATGAGTATGTTGAGATGATGAGGGAGAAAGACAGAAAGGAAAAGGAAGCATCAGAGATGAAACAGCAACGAAAGGAAGAGAGAGAGCGCAACAAGATGGAGAAGGAAAAAGAGCGAGAGAGAAAAAAAGTGGAGCGTGGGGGAAGAAGGGTAGAGGGAAGGGAAAGCGTCCCCTCAAGTGTTCTTCAGGTGAAGACAAACATGAGATCAACCTCCACCAACCAAAGAGCCGCCGTACACATCCAATCCGTGCTCCAGAGAGATATAGAGAGAGCAGTTCAGAGAGTGAGGGCAGTGACACTGTATACTTTTTGTGCAACTCAAGGGAGCTACCTATTGCAACCAGTAGGGTGTTCTTGGTTCACTGCGACCATTGCGGCGAGTGGGCTCACACACACTGTGCTCTGGGCAGCAACACGGCTACACGATTTGCACTATTATAATGCATAGGCGATAATACGCACCGGCGGCCATTATCGCCAAACGCTGGTAGCGCTACGCTATTACATGGTAGTAGCAACGACTCTCCTTAGAATTACAAGGGCGTTTACAGACTAGCCACATAGGGGGTGGGGCTCAGTTCTGCAGGAAAACTGTGCAAGTTCGGTGGTAAACGTCCGCGTAATAACGCATATCGACCAAAGTGTGGCGATAATAGGCGGAAGTACGCTAACTACCATTATTATTGTTACACATGCATGCACTGCACTTGTCCATGACTCCTACACATCATTTGAAACAGTAAGTACATACCCTCGGTACAAGTGTGGCATGCAAATTTACACACTCACCCTAAAACACGTTCCCCCTTTCCTCCAAGTTCAAGGTACACTTCATTAAATCTCTCAATAAATTGCTCATCAATTAGCTTCTCCTACATAAAACATAAGGGCAATCTGTATTAAAGTGGTCTCATTAAAAAAAAAAGTGCACATTTCATATTTGTTAGGGGCAAAGTTCGGATTTGGACCATCCTAGGATTGTCTTGCGCAAACCTCGGATCCTAGCTTTGTGCAACAAATGCTAGGATCACATTCCAGCTGAGCTAACCTGGGATTGTTCTGGCACAAACCGGGTCTCTCACTCTATAAAAACGCAATCTCGTTGTTCTTCGTCGTCTGTGTGCAGTTATCGTTATCGGTGTAGCAGCGGAGTGAAGAGATGGCTACAGCGGTCATACGAACAACTATTTTCACGAGGAGATGACGGAACAACAAGCGGTCTACAACTACAACGCGCATGTGCAACAGGCACGGCCTTCGCGAGGCAAATGCCCACCTCATGCAGTATCTGAGGTACTACTATCCGAGGTTTGTCCTGCGCAAAGTGAGGATGGTGGCTTGACAGGCGGAGGCTAACGGCCACACTGGCGTGTCCGCACAGCCACGCAAACCACGCGAGTGGCCAAACTGCGATCCTAGTCCTAGTGCTGCTGCGGGGAGACTGTGAAACCCTGAGAAGCGCATAACAGCCCTTTTATATGCCTTAGCTACATCCTAGGTCTGCGCAGTACCATCCTAGGTTTGTCTGCGCCATTCTAGGATTTCTGCGCAAAGCTAGGATCCAACGTTTGCACAACACAATCCTAGGATTGTCCGAATCCGAACTTTGCGCCTAACGTATTAATTGCATCTTGCGTTTCTCCAAGGCTTAGCCACCACCTTAGCTGCTTCCATTCAGGTACACATGTGGTGGGGTTTGTCTAAGAGCTTTGCTTGCTATGGGTTTGTACTGCGTTTTTCATCCCTGAAACTTGAGCATTGACTGAAGGAGAAAAATGATGTGCCATCTATTCTATTCTGTGGTTCATAAACCATGTCAAACAGGTACATATGCATTGAATTTGAATAAAGTGCAGGTGTACCACCACATGTGTACCTGAATGGAAGCAGCTAAGGAGGTGTACCACACACAAGGGCAGGTGACTTAGAATATACATCCCTTTGAGCCATGATAAACGTAGTTGGTGTCACTGCCACATACAATAATGTTATACACATGAAACACGTGACTTCACAGTATAAAAAATCAGGATTAAAATTTAAGTCACGATCTCTCAGGACTACTATAAGTTATGTTATTGCATAGAGCAATTAGACTGTGTCCATGAGACTGAACATGCATCTGTATTATCATTGGTGCGTGTGTAACAAGATAATAGAGACATTCTAACAAAGAGATAGACCACAAATCTAGGTGTTTGCAGCCTTTCATTAGTGTCACTGCCATTGTCTTGCTATCGAGCTCGGTGGCTTCAGCATGTGACCTTCTCAACACGTTCATTCGTGCAGTTATTCAACTAGCTCGAGTTTGCAATTATCAATTATGATATTTTTTACGCACACTTCCTGGCATGTATATACTTATTCCCGCGTGACAGCTCATTCAAGTAGGTTCTCAGGCACCTACTTATTACATTTTGGCTTCTTATAGATGCAACGCTCAGCCAGTGTGGGAGTAGTGAGGAATGAGTGGCGGTTTGGTTGGTGCACTTTTGTCAGGTAAAACTCCTGACTGCACACTCTTGATACGTGAACAAGTTTTTAAATATGCATACAAATGTATGTACCTGCCCTTCTTTGCTAAGGTATGATGAGCAGTGGTCCATAATCCTTTCTGGTGCACCTAAATGATAAAAGGGCATATGCATGGCTACAAAAGTTGCTATACACTACATCATGTTTATACAACAACCCCACATATTTTTAAAGAGTGAAGCCAGCCTCCCCAGTCGTCCGAATGGTACGGGAACTGTCACATACTGTAACATTATACATGATTCTAAATATGTACGCTTGTAAAATAGACCTGCGTTGCATTCCTCTACTATTTTCATCTCCCACTGAATATGTGACTTCATTTGGGGTGTGAATAATTCCTCCAAGTTAGATGTACGTGTGGCCCTCAAGAAATACAACCGAGTGTTCGGTAAGAGTAAGGCTACGCCGTCTACACATTCTTCACTAGCTACATTCGTCCTATTATTACCAATGCTTGTGTAAAGAGTTTTGACTGGTCAACATGTGTGCACGGTTACTGGCACTGCCAGTGGCAATACGTATTATTTAACGTATAGGCGGCGAGGCGGTACAGGAGATACTCCGAGGCTGTTGACTATACCGGACGAGGGCGTAGCCCGAGGCGCGGTATAGTTAACAGCCGAGGAGGATTTCCTGTACCCGCCAAGACGCCTGACGTTCACTGATTTGTAGTCCAACTAGCCAATCACAATGCTGAATTTCTGCTGTGTCATCTTGCACTAATGTACTAATGGACTGTTGTGTAAACTTTGGAAGCCAGACAATTTGCACTAGGCCTTTGGACTACAAAGTGACATATACGCTGTCACAATTGTTGAGAATGGCGCCATTAGATGCCAAACAATTGGCTTGAGGGGTTACTCTGTTGAAGAGGATTACGTAAGCTAATGTAAAATGGTAAAGTTAACTAATTATCTATGCTCGCGGGGTGCAGTAAGTGAGAAATTAAAGCTCATAGAGATTATCTATTGCTTATGGATAATTTCAGTCTATCATCATTCCTTTATTCACAAGTGACAAGTGTACAGTTGGACCTCCGAATAATGAAAATATTGGGACAGCAATTTTCCCCCATTATTCAGAGGTTTTCTTTATTGAGAAGTATGTGTATATAATGGTAAAGCCAGTTGGTACATGGGAATAAGTTCATTATAGAGAGGTTTTCACTGTTGGGGGGAGTTCAGTATCAGAGGTTCGACTGTACTGCATTATTAGGAAGCAGGAGAGAACCAACTGATATGAATTATAAAGGATGGGTGGCTAAGATCGACACTATGTGTGCAGACACGATTGCGTTGTAGACACATGGGGATCATATTGAACTGGAGATCTTCAATCTAATCGCTGGCTGATGAAGAAGAGGGAACTCAGTTGTGATGGCGAGCCCGGTCACCTGCTCGGCATTGTGACAACAGTATCTCTTGCTGTTCCACTGTGTCGGAGGCAAACATTGTCTACTCTGAGCTCCTTCTCCAGCTAAACATGTTTTTCGCTCTTCCGCTGCCTCCGATCCTTCACTCCTGGCAAGATGCATCTTCCAAGCTCAATCGAAAGCTAAACGTGCCTCTCGCTCTATATACCACTGTGTTGGAAACAAAACACTCTCTTGTAGGAGGTGTCTCTTGCTCTCTTCCTGTCTCGGAGGGACACAGACCTTAATCAGCACTCACGAGCTTCCTTGGCTTGGGAAGGGACACGGTTCATCGCTTTCAGAAGACGAACTTTTTACAGGCCTTTTACCCAACGCATGCTGGCGCATGAATATAGAATGACATAAACAAAACGTTAGAGGTACCGGACAGACAGACAATACCAAGTACCGTACAGGCGGCCGCAATAAAAAAAACACAACTTTCATTCACGACGTTATGTGTCAAGGAGGTGCGTTTGTGTGAGGTGGGAGGCAGGAAACTCGGTTTAATGCGATTTTCCCCTCATATAGAAACGTATTGGACCCAAACTCTTGCACAGAAAGCAGGTAACTCACCAAATTTTTTTTCGCCTCGAGAAACACCGCAGAACACGCAATGCAATTGCGCACACATGCACGGATGCGCACACCACTATTTGATGAGCCGTTTTTCCAGTTTCCATGGCCCTCTTTGCTATAGAATCGTGATTTATCAAGTATAACTAATGCATACCATGATGTCTACGCTTCACATTCAGAACAGGGGGCACACGCACCAAACACTCATTGAGACCGACTACAAAAACTCTCGCTGAGCATGCACGTACAGGAGAGGGTGAATACTATTCCACAGTGCATGCTAATGCCTAGCTGGAATACAAGGTTCATTTGTATCCCAGGCAACGCCAAACATCAAAGCACACAATGGAGCATAAGTTTCCTGCTGCCCACGCTACATTGAGAGGAAATATATCAAGGGAGAGAGTATATGACAGTGGGTTCTTTACCTTGCCAACACGCAATGAAATGTACCAGGAACAAGAAGGCACTGCAAAAAGAGCTACCTTCTCTCGTGTAACGTTGAGGGAATGGTTCAAACTGGCAGTGAGTCACTGCTTCAAGGCGCTTTCTTAGTGAACGTAACCTGCCTGCAAACTAAATTGCAAAGCCTCCCATGTCTGGGACTATGTGCGCCCGACAACCACCTAATGCTGCTACTAGCATCAATTACAGACTCATGAAGCAACAACCTATAGCTATGTAAAGCTCATTCAAAAACAAACCAGTCTCCTGCTGTGTCTGTACTCAATGCTTCCACAGCCATGGGAATACTAGCTGGCGCCAGCCTGTCCTGAGGGCAATCAACGCACAGTGCTCTAGCAGCAGCTTTCTTTTCACATTCCAATGGCAATGAGGCTTTTGATGACATGGTATTGATTATCCTTTTAGGGAATAATATCTAATGTAGGTTATTGCACAAATCACTAAGTACGGTAGTATCATACAGGGATGGGCATGGTAGATGTACATATGGGGCTATGATAGGGGTTTTGTTCATCTTCTTTTCTTCCTCTTCTTCATAACTCAAAAACGCAACAACATACAAATGAAATATTGTTAGAATGTAGATATCCGTCACCCGATGAGACTGGTCAAACTTACTTACTGTAAACAAACACAAATAGCCCCAGGCAATACATAATAGTGGGTTCACTTGTGTCAGTATAACTCACAATTAGACCGCAGTCACGCGCAATTGACCAATCAGATTACAGAATTGCGGGGGGTTTATTTTTCATAGACACCTCGTTTCAGGTGTCTATGGCGTTTGCAGGTGGTCTACAGCAATCTCCCCGTACAAAATGGCTATTTTCAAAAGTCGTTATCTGTGCAAACTGGCCGATTCCGCGTTCGGTATATGTAAGCGTAGAAGGCGCGACTGGCAAAGTAGCTCTTTTAAAATGCGTAGTGCACCTGCAAGAAGTCTGTGGACAGTCTCCGGAGCTCGCGAAAGTCAGAAATCACGTCAATATTCCACGAAAAAAGCGTCGGCTTCTTCAGCTCTGGCGATACACAAACACATTGGGCCGTTGCCGTGCGTTGCTAACCCTTTCACAAACGCGCACCACCAATGAGGGCGTTTTATGATGACGTAAACGATTTTTGATGGGGGCGGGGGCTGTCTCCTCGAGTCTCACAACGAAAGCGTCTTGTTCCATCCGAAGGTAAGGAATGAGGAATGAGCGCAGCGTTGCTAGCTTGTTGCTACCCATTTGAACGCGCAAACACCAATCAGATACTCCGGTCTAAACCGGTTAGACGCGGAAGCTCGGTTGTCTACGCAACATTGCAACCCTCGGGGCATGTGGGTAGCGCCCTCGCTGCGCTCGGGACGCCAACATTCCACAGCCCCTCGGGTTGCAATGTAGCGTAGACACCTCGCTTCCGCGTCTAACCTATATTTGGTAAGAGGTATGTGAACGAAACTTTGTAGACATAAATTACCAACATCAAAATCACACCATTACATGTTTGTAAACAACAACAAATAAACTCAGGTAAATCTACTTCTTCCCTCCTCAAACTTTCCAATGGTAGCACGCATCGATTACATGTTTCCATGACGACCACATATTGTTTGAAAAAGCCTCAGGCAATTTTCTTTAAAATCACTTCTTCACTCCTCAAACTTGGTGACTGTAGCACGCATGGAGGTGAAACTTGGTGTGCATGTGTATTACATCGTTTCCATGACGACCAAAACAAATAGCCTCAGGAACTTTTATTTAAAATTACTTCTTCACTCCTCAAACTTGCTAACTGTAGCACGCATGGAGGTGAAACTTGGTGCGCATGTGTATTACATTGTTTCCATAACAACCACGACAACAAACAGCATTTTCTTTCTTCACTCCTCAAACATGCTAACGGCTGCACACATGGAGATGAAACTTGGTACGCATACTTATTACATCATTTCCATGACGACAACAGGCATTTTACTCTCTTATTAATATTTATAGGAGGCTTGCCCCCTTCCACAGAGATAATACGTAGTAGTATATAAAAATGAGTGGAGACAAGTGAATTAAAAATCCTGCCAATTTTAAAAAGAGGAATGTAGGGATGGTATTAACTCATTGGGCGCGGCGGATCTATATATGGATTCGTTACGCGGATGTTAGCCAACTCGATCGGCATATATATAGACGCGTAGGAACACTCACTACTCTCTTCGTCCTAGTTGCCGTCGCTAGTCGCTGGCACAGCCAGACCTTGCTACACCTTTGACCTTTGAGTGGGCGCACAGTTTGCGCATGTACAAAATAAAAGGCGGGGCTGGTGTGCGCACCAGCTGCCCCACCTTCCGCGCGTATAATACGCGTCTAAGAGCGATGAATGCAGATCTGCCATGGAAACGTGGCCTCCTTGCGGCTCTAAGATGACACTAGGCTTTCTAACACACGAAGAATGAATCTGGGCTTCGTCTGCGGGCCTACACCAAGTATAAACACGCAAACAAAACGGCACGCACGAACTCGAAAAAACCACGCGGACGCGGTAATTCCACGCATGCGCATTAACGCGCGCAATGAGTTAAAAAGAAAGGGAGACAGGATATATAGGGATGGGATACATGAAGCATGGTTAATGAACACATTTGAGTACGCTGACACCCCCAACCCCATCACATAATCCCTATATTGTTGCCTAGGTGAAGTATTAAACATTTACCATTACAATACTCAGAACTTATAATACAAAAATGTCATGCTACTGAGTAACCAACACCATTATAGAGTCCAAGTGGAGTTTAATTAAAGGGAATGTGGCAGTATAAATTTACTAAAAACAACAGGGACACAGTGAAAGGATGCTTGCTTTTAGTAACCTTTAGCCCCTATAAGAGTAGCACACCAGGCAACAATATAGGGATTGTGTGATGGGGTTGGGGGTGTCAGCGTACTCAAATCTGTTCATATGTATCCCATCCCTATCCTGTCTCCCTCTCTTTTTAATACCATCCCTACATGCCTCTTTTTAAATTCGCAGGATTTTAAATTTACTTTTATTACATAGGACTTCAGGTGTGTACAGGCAATAAACTTCACTAGGCATGTTCTTTCTATACTTAAACATGTGGTACTTTTACATAGCATTTATATTTGACACATACCTTTCATAACCAACATATAACCATCGCTATGAGGTTGCTCATGAATTGAAATCTGTAGAGATTAAATAAATGATTTGCATACAATCATGTCACAACTATCTCACAAACCTGGTACTTATTTGCAGAGTTGAACGGGATTTCACACACTCTTGGGTACTGTAGCCGATATCCATCTATATTACCAACTTCTAGCTCAAAACATTTCAGCAAAGCTGTTTCTGATGCATCTCCATTGCAGACTTTGTCCAAAATACTTTTTCCAGCTTGACCTTCAATAAACACTGCTCTGTTACACAACCCAGCAACACGAGCCAGTGCTTTCCAGCCAATACTTCCTTCCTGGAAATGTGTGCATACAAGTTTAAATACACATAAGGAATGGCATAAAAGCAAGGAGATAAGACAAGAATGGCCTAGTGCATGTGGTACAGTAGCACTATGGATGAGGGCTACAACTTCACACTTAATATTACTTATATATTCCTTGCTCTGCTCTTTTCAGTAACCGTGCAAGAAATGGCAAGTGCGCAGGAAGGCTTTGCGCATAACCGCGTTTTGCGCATAATCGCGTAATGACACACACACGTGCGGAACAGCAATTTAGAGTGTAAATACTGGTGGGTGCTCTAGTCGCTAGACTCTGGGAGTTCAACAACAGGGGGGGTTGTGCCAACACCGGCGACTGCCTACTTGAGTAAAAGAACTATAGGAAAAGTGTGCCACGACACTTCCTTATCAGGTAATCAAACAGCAGTACAGCTGGCTGGGCTTCCCTTTACATAACAATAGAAAAATCAGTGCAAGACTGCAGGTAAATGGATTTTTTGCTAGTCACTATGTAAAAGGCAACAAATTCGTTGCCTAGGCTTTAATGTATATACAGTGCAAGTTAGCATCCCTCGTGTTCTGTGAACATAAAACAATGCATGTTCTTGTGTAAATTAGTTTGTGTTGCTTGCACTATACACTACAACTTCAAGTGATAATGAGAATATAGTTCTTACAATGTGCAAATATTTTTCCCTACACATTAACAATAGACACACTCACTCGTCTTGTTTTCTCCGGATTTTGTTGGTCTTCATTAGTGTTAGCATCATGAACTTTTTCACTAAACCACATATGTGCTATAGATGAATTTAACAACAATGGTTAAGACACATGCCACAAAGTTCTATTAAATCTGATTCTATGATAGTGAAGCAAGTACCCACCAAAACACCTTTTTTCCTAAAAGTCTGTTCGCATTCACCTTGCCGCCAGAAGTGAGCAGTCAAAACAGTTTACGCAAGTGCGCGTAATAATGCACACATTTGTGGTGTATGAAAGCGCGCTTAAGCTCTAGCGACAGCGCGTGCAGGGACAGAGCTCTGAGCGTATCAGCGCGAGTTGGCTCTGTGAAAGCAAAGTGTACAAATTACCAGTAAGTAGAAGCTTGGTAGCCATAGCAGAACTCGCTCGCAGCGCGCCGTCCATCGAAGTAGTAAGTAGGCGCGTATCTGGGTGCCTATACCGATAATTGAATATTTTGTGGTGTGCGGAACGTCCATACTTTTCTTATGAGACATAAAGCTAACTTCGCAAGCGTGCATTGGGTGCAAACGTAGGCCGCATCATTAGAACCTACGCGCTGGCAGAAACGCATTGCACGTTGAAACTCCGGAATCAGCCATAGTATAGCGAAGTTGCAGCCGATTTCCTACCGACAAGGTGAACGCAAACGGACTTTAGGAACAAACAGTTTTCCGGGAGGGACAAAACACAGCTGTACTGCAGTATATTCTACAACTAGGAAGGCTTAGCTGGCAGGGCTGTGTGGAACACAGGAATTCGTATAGTATGTAACCAATGCGAAAGGCTGGGGTGTATAGTGAGGAGGCTTGAACTCCATACTAAGTTTTCAGATATGAGGAAAGTGAAAAAAAATACACCAACACCTAGGATCACCCTCGTTCCCAGGCTTGGGTATGAACTTTGACCCTGAGCTAACACGTTGGGTACACACCATTTTGACGCTAATACATTAGGGTAGAAAGCGTTTGTCATTTTGACATTGTAACCAACTTCGGCCAGGTCACCAACACTTGAGTATCCTCCAGACACAAGCTCTCTGACTGAAGCAAGCCAGGATAGCAAGATTGGTGAAAGATGATGACGTCAAGTGGGCTTGTAGCAGCACAGCTGTGACAGAGCCTCCACAGAATGACCGGCTTTCACAAAGAACTGATTTCGTTGTCTCATATTCCGCATCAAACGCTGTCTACCCGAATGTACCAGCATCAAAACAGTGTCTACTCAACATGTTAGCACACGTGACAAATATACCAGCCCCTCTCTCCGCTTAACTCTTCGTGGAAAAGGTCATACTGTAAAATTATAGTATAATACTGAAACTGCAAAAGCAAACAGAACTTTTCTCATACCAACAGTCATTCTGTTCTGAGTAAGTGTTCCAGTCTTGTCGGAGCATATGACTGATGTACTTCCAAGGGTCTCTACAGCCTCCAGCTTTCTTACTAAACAATTTTTCACCTTCATCTGCTGAGCTGTCAAAGTTAGACACACCTGCACAAAATTGTGAATTTGCTCTCCCTGGTCCATGTGTAGGTAGGTGCCAGTGCATAATTGTATTATAAACATGTAAAAATGGTGAATACAGGGATGGTATCAAAAGCAATTGAGACAAGACAGGTATATAGGACGTAGTGTATATGATGCCATAGTACAATGGAGAGTGGTTGCATACTCCATGCTTGCTCATGTCTCAACACAAGCCCTACATTGTCGCGAAGCATGAAAACTGAACAGCTCACGCTATATACATAAAAAGAAAGAAAACAGGAGTTCAAAAGGGCTACAATTAACATACATATATCCATAAGGGCTTACTTGGGACTAGCAAAACACGCGAGCTGATGCACGAAGGTGGTGAAATGAGTGTGCTCTGTCGTATAGCTATACATAGCATGTATTTCCTAAGCACATGAGACAGGTAATGTACAGATTTGCCCTATCTGAAAGCTCCTCATTAACCCTCGGCGCACATGCGCAGCGAGGGTTACTGTACTTGGTCGGTCTGTCTGTCTGTCTGTCTGTCCGCGCGAGTTCTCACACTACAGGCTACGAGGCAGCCATTGAGTGGCACCAACGGGTTTTGAACAATGAGAACATGGATATTAACGTGGCGATTTTCCTGAAACGACTGCGTTCCAGAGATTGGCGCGAAAACAAGCGAAAAAGCCAATGTGCGGTCGATCGCGCACGCGCCATCTCCGGCAGGCTATATAGCGCGCACGCGTCATGTCAATTTTTCGCCAGAGCATGCGCTACGCCACGTTGGTTCTGTCACTGTTCTCTTTGTTTTCAGTGGATATACATTCTGAGCAAGGTATGTTCGCAATGTAGCATAATAGTTCAGGTGGTGAGAAGTTTGTGGATGCGGCCATACCTTCCCATCTATAAAACGTCTGGCGAGAGTATTGAAACACAGAAGTACGGATAGATTGAATAAAGCAAATATGAGAGCCTCCGAAACACCTCAGCAATTGCGCTAACCTCTAATGCAACTATCCTGTGTTACGGCGAGACTCGTGTTACTGGCTCCGTCGATGACGCACGGCCCAGCATACAGTGATGCTACAACTCGTGCATTTAGCGCCGATGGTTTGCACTTTAGTGCTTTTCATTTTTAAGTTGTGACTGCATTGTGTGGAGTCCAAAACCTTTATCCTTGCTCAACTATTATGCAATGAATACTACATTCTTGGCTCTCTACAGAATCCTTCGCACTTTATCATTCACTAAACAAACCCATGTTATGAGTAAAAGTGGTTACATTATTGGGCTTGTGTGGAAGAAAACAGAGCAAGCATAAGTCAGTCTGAAGTATCATCGAATGTACTACAGCATCAAATGCACAACATCATTCTTGTCTTGTCCCCGTGGTTTTTGTATACCATCTTCAATTAAGAACTGTTTATTTGCCCCTTTTCATTTTTACAGCATTCGTACTCATGGTGTGCACAATATTCTTGGGCAAAGAGCCAATAGAGAAAGTAGCATTAGTGACCTTATGCTGTTATAGCTTGAAGCTGTTTATCATCTTTGATAAACTTTTACCATAGTACCTCAGTGTACCAAGTTTTGTTGATATGAGTACCCACAGGTTAGATGCACAAACACCACTTACAAGTTTATTGCCTAAGGCAGTTTGTTGTTGTTTACAAACTTGTAATTCATGTTGTGAAGAACTCTTATTATGGTGTATCAGTATACCAATTTTTTTTTGAGGACACAGTATAAAGGCATAAACAAGTTTCCATTGCCAGAGGCAATTTTGTGGTTTTTCTTTTTGATAAATCATGTATATACATCAGTGTAATTAGAGAACCCAGCATAAGCAAGTTATAGGCACGTAATTTTATCACACATTGTTGATCTACAATCTAGATACTTTTGGTTTTTGTGGTTTATATGTAAACAACGTTCAAATAAATGCTCCTGAACTACAGGTCAAGGATTTCAATCTTTGTGCAAAGTCAATAACAGATTATGCAATTAGCCTAGGAACATGCCTATTTTGACCATACAGATCAGACCGAAATGTCAGAAGTGGGATCTGAATAAAACTTAAAGTGAAATCTCAAATAAATAGGAATAATGCAGGATAACCAGTGTTATCCCTATTATACTTGTACCACCGTAATTAGTTACAATAAAACACAAGCAGGAAGGCATTTGCAAAATGAACTCCGAGCACTATAAAAAATCTCACCGTAACTGTCGCAAGGAGTCCTTCTGGCACATTGGCGACTATTATACCAATAAGATAGACGGCAGCTTCCAGTAATTCATACTGTAAAACTAGTCCAATAATGAAGAAAGAAAATCCAAGAAACACTGCGACAGTGGTTATGATGTGGATGAAATGCGAAATCTCTGCTGCTATTGGAGTTCCTGTGTTTGAAAAAAACCTTTTAGCATGAATTTTACAAGATAATGCATGCGTGTCTGCTGCACCTATCAATTTTGAGTCAATGAAAATGTATTCAGCCTTACACAAGTGTATTAGAGGATTATTTTAAGTTATAGTGAACACGAGGTGCAAGGTGGTCATGGTCAATCAGCTTTATGCGCATACTGTACACATAGGGCAATTTGTCTGCTTGATCTCAAGAAAAAAGATGTGGAATCAGCAGAGCATACCACAACTTCTCTCTCTGGTATGCAAGCATCAATGGTAAACAAACCAGTCCTTTTCTGCCTGGCATTATTCTAGAATACTAAAGGCACAGGCAGACCTGAGTTAGCGTTTTCTGCTCATCACGTGACCAGGTGCGGTAGAGACAGGAGGGATGTGCTTTCAACACTGTTGTAGTTACCCTCGGCGCGCATGCGCAGCGAGAGTACGGCAGTTGGGTCTGTGTGTCTGTTACTCTACATCTCACTTCTCGAGTGTTTGTTCGTCTCACAAACGACACTACCTACTTAACGGGCAATGAAGGTCAGAATGTTTGTGAGGTTTTCTCTGAAACTTCTCCGTTGCAAAGCTAGAGCTAGTGTAAGTTTAGTTCAGTTGTTTAATACCCACAAATCCTAACAAGAATGTATCCAAGTGATTCCTACATGTAAACTCTATATGATAAGGCAATTTCACAAGACTAAAAAAGACGACTGCAATTCCTCGGTATAATACACTTACACAGGTCTACCACAATTTCATCAGATGAAAAATGCTGTAGATTTAGTCTTCCATGGGTTGGTACAGTATGCGTAAAAAAAGTTTCAATTATCGTTCAATACAATCCCGTTTGCTTTTGTCAAAAACCGAACGGAAACCATGGGCAACGCCGTTCGATAACGTTTCGTTTGGTTCTTGCACAGTTCCGTTTCGTTTCGTTTGGTACCATGCGTGTGCTGTTTTTTTCGCCGAAGAAAGCCAGGCTCACTGGAGCACCTTCCGCTTCCCAGACGCGCTTTCGTGCTCTAGGCCGCCTCCTCACAACAAGGAGAAGCCTTGGGACACGTTTTTCAAAAGTGGGCATAGGCCCAGATCGCTAATCGCTCACTCGTTCGACGATTTATGCTGTCACAGCCAAGGCGCATAAACGAAGCTGAAACCGAACGAAACAAAAACGGAAGGATATACTAGGCAAAACTGAACGGTACCGCCGCGGAAAACGGCAAACAAATCGAACGGTAATTACCGTTCTCTGGAACGGAACTGCACGATAATGGAAACGTTTTTTGACTCGTACTGTAAGGCATTGAAATCACCTATACCTCGTTCCTGGGCTCTGAAAAGCTGAGGGAGAAGAGCATGGTTATGTTCGCAACTAGCACTGCCTCTTTTACAAAACTGTGGTTACGTCTTAGTGGTAGCTCCCCACATTAACACACACATATATATAGAGAACTACACTGTGTTCTAACCCACTTTCTTCAACAATATTGCTTGTTAACTGAGCAATGCGTCCCATTACAGTCCTGTCTCCTGTTTTTACAACAACTCCAGTGCATGTACCTGCATAACAAAAACGTTGATTAGGCAATGTAAAATTACACAGCATGCATGTAATCTGAAGTAAAGTGGAGTACAGGCAGATGGCCAGAATCTCCGGACATTCATGGCTGCCTGCGCAGACTCTTACCAAAGTTGATTAACTAAAAGGCACGAAACGCAGCCTTCCAGAACATATCATTGGCCTAACTTTTGAGCTTCTGCATTTGCTCACAAGGGGAAATTGATACTTTCTTCTATGCCCGAAGCCCTGCCTAATAGCGAGTGTGACTTTCTGGGTTAAAGCAAGCCCTTACTTGAGTGGCCTGCTAGCTACTTAAAAAGCACCTGTACCACAGAGGAGTGTTAGACACGGTACTATTGCTCTGTACAATAGTGTAAACCACTGCTGTTTGGTTATACTAGGAAAATAAAAACACAGACACACATTCCTGGGGGCAAAGAACAACAGAGAAGGCTTCGGTTTTTGAAGTTAAAAGTTAACCAAGAAGCAACCTCTATATAGTATACCATCACACAAGGTTAGTCCAAGCAGGTCTTTTCTTAAAATGTAGTCTGTAGTCCCTGTTCCCAACATAATAGATACACCAAATAACCTTCCACCAACCAAACCCTGCAGTTGCCCAGATGGAAAGAATACACATTAAAGTGCAAACCCTCGTGTGAATATTGCAATACCCAAATGCATGTGCGGCCAGGCTGTCGATGTACTTAGTACGCATGGTTTCCCACTAGCTCACTGAGAGTCTGTTAAGGCTAAGGGGGTAGGACAGGGTAAGTTACATATGACTCACATGATTATACGCGTGCCAATACCCGTAAGCACAGTATTGCAGTGCGGTTGTAAACTCGTGTCTTGCTAGGTTCGATTTTAGAGGCAAGTGTTGACTGCAGGTGTAGGTATTAGCTTTAGGTTGGACTTATACGGACTCTACTCACTCGCTCTGGCTAACCGCAATCATTCTCAACGTGCCTACAGTACCCGTAAGTCCCATCAAGGCAACTTCACTCAGAGAACACCCATTAGAGAACTGCTAATAGTGGCTCACCCTGAACTTGAAGAGTGCTGATCACTAACACAATACTATTCTGTCACACTTACAATGCTGGCTCATCCCTGATCTATCGGTAGGATCGTTCAAGCCTGCTATTGGACCTGTCTTTTGAGTGTGGTTGGCCAACTTGCAGACGCATGTGTAGCACTAGTCTATGGACCTGCGTGGCTGATCGTACCACCGTAGTTATTGTCTGCTGTTGGGAATTTAGCAGTGAACGGGGGAAAAGTTTTAATTTCATCAGCGCTAGCGAGAAACAAGATGAGGTTGAACCAAACCCCCCCTTGGACAAGGCTATAATATACTTGAAACTACGTGCATTAGAGAGCCGTGGGAGCCTTGAGCTGTCAGAGTCTGACCTTAGCAAGGACATAAATTTAGAGCTATTCAACCCGTGAACGCAATTTCAATTTGGTGAAGCTGAAATGGTGAGAAAGCAGTACTTTCTTGCTCAGAAGTTCAACGAGAGGCCCTGGGAGGATGTCGATGACGAGCTCGTCTCGACCGGCACCTTGACACACCGGTCGGGACGCCCAATGTACGTGCACCACTGCACATGAGCGAGAATTTGAGTCTTGTTTTCCAAACTATCATTGAAAGTTTCTGCGCTCTAGAGTCCACCCATGGACAGATTGCGCAATTAAAATGAAGTTTAAGGGAGTTAAATGTAGTTAACGGAAGGAACCAGTTCTGCGCTCTAGAGTCCATCCATGGACAGATTGCGCGATTAAGGGAGTTAAATGTAGTTAACGGACGGAACCAGCCAGCCCAGTAGTGCGCATGCGCGGGGGTAGCTGGCCGCGTGCGCCAGAGCGGGAAGTTTGATTCAGGTCATCGTGGACAGCCATTTTGCGATGGTGGGATTTGTGCAACGAGATAACTTCGGACAAACAAGTTGGTTTTAGTCTACAACGAAGGATAGCATACCCTTCCCCCTGTCCTCGGAGAACTAGTCGGTCTCTCCCAGCAATGGCAACGGAAGCTACACCCGAAATGACACCTGTAGCAAGAGAAACTTCCAGAAGCCCAGCTGTCTACGCCACCTACAGTTAGCACATGGACCTACATTACCAGACCTACATTGTCACCTGGGTGTTTATCTAATTGTATCTCCACAAACATTACCACAACACGATCACCACCTATATAATGCGTGAGCATTCTGTAAGATGAGAGATTGAGTCCAGACACTCTCGGCGTCTAGAACGGCTGCGACCGTTCTCTCGGACCGCGCACTACATTGGCGTAGTCGGCAGTCGGCAAGAAGCAATGGCTACTCGTCCCGTCGTCACTCCCGAACTATATTCTGGAGAGGGACCATTCGAAGAATGGCTCGACCATTTCGACAGTGTGGCAAGGATTAACGAGTGGAGCGATCAGGCAGCAGCACAGTGGTTGTCCGTCCGGTTAGTCGCCCGCGCAAAGACGGCGTACAGACGACTCCCAGAGGAAATAAGGGGAAACTTCGGCCGTGCGAAAACCGCCCTACTCCGCCGGTTCGAACCCGAAAGCAAGCGCAGCCTGTACGCAGCAGAGTTCCAGGCGCGCTGCAAACAATCGTCAGAAGACTGGTCGACCTTCGCAGACGACCTGAAACATCTAGTGGATAAAGCGCTACCGGACCTCGACGACAACGCTCGAGAACGATTGGCCGTAGATCGCTTCCTGACCCAAATCTCAGATCCGCAACTGGCTTTCGGCGTCCGACAGAAGGAACCCAAAACCATTGACGCCGCGGTCGCCGCAAAATTGGAATTACAGGCGCATCTCAACCTCGCCAATGCCGCAGGTGCTCGGACCGGCGCTTTTCCGGTTGACGCTGTTCACCACGGTCGTCCGCCCGTTCAACAAGACCGCACAGCGGAACAGTTAGTCACACGGATGGAGAAACTCCAGACGGATCTCTCTACACAAAACCAACAACAACCTGCTCTTCCTCGTCGACATCCACCGTCGTCGCGTGGTCGCTTCCGTGATCGTAACCAGCGGCCGCAAATGCGACAAGACCGTGGGCCCGTCGTTTGCTACCGCTGCGGACAAGAAGGCCATTTCGCACGAGGGTGTGCAATCCCCACTCGTCCCCGTCAGAACCAGGAAAACTAGGACCCCTCGGCGCCACTGGCCGGGCGTACGAGGGAATTTCCGCCGTCAGCACCATCTTTCACTCCGGAGCAGCTCGCTTATCTGGAGGACAGAGGAGTTGACCTCACTCAACCGCCTTTTGGAATGTCTGCGGCTTCACTGCCGGCGACGGGGAAAACGGTGCCAGCAGATGTGCCGGGGACATCCTCCAACACCTCCGCGGGTGAGTAGTTTTGTAGGGTACCAGGGTAGGATTTGTTTACTGGGGTGTCGGGCCGTTGCCTGTACGTAGGTGCGTGACCGGCGTGCTGGCCTGGTCAGGGTGGTAGTCCCGCGGCGGGGGATGTTCATGACAATGGCGTTTTTCCCCTTAGAAGGTACTGTACCGCCAGTACCGCCGGGAGGCAATGCTGCCTCCACTACCTGTGTTTCCACTGGGGACATCAGCCGCGCTCGTTCACCAGCCGTCCGTGCCGATGACGGTCCTTTCGGCTCCAGGGCCGTATAATCCGAATCCTAAGGTGGTGAAGAAGGTCCGGTCTGGAATTCGTGGAGTTGAAAGCCGATGTGTGGATAGATGAGCCATCTACAACAGAGGCGAACCCAATCTGTCGTGCGTCGAAGCCCCCAGTCACAGAAATCAGTGTTTGGTTGGAATGTATGGCCGCTCTCCTGTTGACGAGATTTCCGGAAAAAGCTCCGGAGATCTGGAGCTTACCCGACCACGGTTCTGAGGGCGTTCCATAACTATGAGGGGGCAAACTGGGTCGCCTATGATTGGCAATACAGGCGGGATATGTTGGCCCGGAAGGATTTTAACTGGTCGTTACCAAACAGTCACCTGTAAAATGAAGCTTTCATGGGGAGGGTGAAAATCCTTCCTCGGTGCCTGCACTGCTTGGGCGACGACCACGGTGGGGCGACCTGCCCGTAAAATCCGACTCCGCTCGTGTGGAGCTGGCTTCCGGACCCGCGCCAGCTAGCCGTTGCCAGTCCAACAGCTGATCGGGACGCCTGTGCTGCAGCTGTTGTCCGGTGCCGTTATTCAAAGAGTCGTTTCTTTCACGTATGCCAGGGCTCTCACCCAGTCGTGTTCTGCCCACGAAGGGAGTAAGACCGTTCGGGGGAAAGCATATGCCCAGACCTCATACCCGGCCGGCCAAAGACGGTGAACTGGGTGGCGACAATGGACGGCATCGCGAAACACCGTACACGTACTACCTGGGTACTCAACGGGACAGTCTGTGTTACACAATAAGTATAATCTCTGCACTCCCCCCCCTCCATTTTTATTATTGTGTGCAAGTCATGATGAAAGTTGCATTACCAGTGTTTATCGGATGTGGGTTGGGAGGTAGAGTGGGTAGTTCTTTTATTTTCTCCACCCACTAGGGGTGTGACGGCCATGGTTGTTCACTTAAATAGTACCTTATCGTGCTTAACAGATTGGATGCAACAATACCATTACAAGGCTGACCTGCTGTGTCTGGATTTCTGTCGGCCGGAGAGCACCATGGGCTCAGAAACTGTCGGTGGTGAGCACACCTCTGCAGTTGTCAGTATGGGAGGATTCACTTAGGTTCCACCCAGATAGAGCATTTGCATGTTACATACTAATAGGTATCAGGGAGGATTTCAGAGTGGGATTCGACCGCCGGCCACCGCTTAAGTTGGCAGCGCACAACCGCAGGACCAGCCAGAGGTTATACAGCAGTACCGGGAGAAAGAGTGCTCATGGGTCGCATGCTTGGCCCTTTCACAAAGGAGGAACTCTCCTCACTTCCACTCTGCCACATCAATCGGTTTGGGGTGATCCTGAAAGGGGTGAACACTGGCAAGTGGCATCTCATGACCGACCTCTCCTCCCCACCAGGGGAGAGTGTGAAAGACGGGATTGACCCTACCCTCTGCTCACTCTCCTATACATCTGTAGAGCAGGTGGCGGGGGTAGCTGCTGGCTTAGTTGGCAAAGACAGATATTGAGTCAGCGTACCGGATTGTTCCGGTGCACCCGCAGGACCGTCTGCAGGCGGTGCAATAGAGAGAGAGGGTGTACATTGTTCCAATGTCGCAGTTCAGTTTGCGATCCACACCGAAAATATTCACGGCAGTGGAGGATGCCCTAGAGTGACATATGCGCCAAAAAGTCACATTCACCATTATCTCAATGATTTTGTTGTCCTGGGGGTGCCCGGATCTGAGCAGTGTGCCGTCGCTTTGGACACACTGCATCAGGAGTGTCGGCTGCTGGGCGTGCCAATAGCGAAGCACAAAACGAAGGGTCCAGCTACATGCCACACATTCTCTGGCATCGAGGTCAACATGGTAGCATTCGAGTTGAGACTACCGGAGGAGAAGTTGGCGCACCTCAGGGCTCAGTTGGAGGCATGGGGGGATCGCAAGGCTTGCCTGCAGAAAGAGTTGGAGTCTTTGGTGGGTCTGCTGAACCATACCTGCAGAGGGATCAGATCGGGCCGTTCCTTCTTGCGAAGAATGATCGATTTGCTCCATAGCGTTCCAGACTCGCCTTGATTGTGCCACCCTCTCCGCCTCAACAGGGAGTTTAGATCAGTGGCCTGGTGGAGGGTTTTGTGAGGAATTGGAACGGGGTTTCCTTTTTGACCTTGCCCCAGCAGCTCCCGGAGGTCGAGATGGCCATCCGATGCCTCGGGGTCGTGGGGCAGGTCAAGCAGAGCTGTGGACGGGGATGCATCGGCGTCGGGTACCTTTGACAACAAAGGTCGAGATGGCCTCCGATGCCTCGGGGTCGTGGGGCAGGTCGAGCATTGAAACGCTGGACGGGGATGCATCGGCGTCGGGTAACTTTGACAGCAAAGAAGCCAAATTATCCCGAGACAAGTCGTCAGCTAAGACGTTAGCCATAGTACTGAGGTACAATGGGGAAAATGGAAACAGTGTCTGGCTTCCACAAATGTCAACACGCGGAGCATGTGGATAATATGGCCATTTCTACTTGACCGACACTGGAGGCATGCTACTACCGCTTGGTTGTCGTAGTAACACCGCACCAGGCAATTCTACCATCGGGCACCCCATAGATCAACAGCAAGGACAACAGGAATCAACTCATTCACCATGATGGGAGCCTCAACCAACCTGTCATCCCACTGCACCTGGAACCAGTGGGTGGCTTCTGTCTTCGGAGGTGGACTGGGTGTCCCCGGAATGGTGGAGTCTGTTCTCCGCCATTTCCAAGCCGGGATTGCAGCGTCCACTCGGAACTCATACAACTCTGGGATGAAGCGGTTCTATGCCTTTTGCAAGAAATTTGAGATATTTACCCCGTTTCCAGTACATGAACAGCTCCTATGTAGATTTGTGGCCTACTTAGCAGATGAGGGCCTCTCGCCCCAGACTGCGATGTCTTATTTTAGCCGCCGTTTGTAAGGCTCAGTTATCCTTGGGGTTGCCAGGTCCCCGTGAGACTTCATCTCTTCCTATACTCAAGAGGGTGCAGGCAGGCATTGCTCGAGTCAAACTCCAGCGTGGGAGGTCAACCCGGATTCGCCTATCTATCTCGGCCGAGTTGTTGGATCACATCAAGGTGGCCCTACGGAAGTCTTCCGATCCCGAAAGAGCACCGTTTTGGGCAATTTGTTGTATAGCCTTTTTGGGTTTTTCCGTTTGGGAGAGTTGTTGTTGTCGTCCGACTTCGATGGCAGACTCCATTTGGCGTGGGGAGACGTGACGTTCGACCACTAGACACATCCGTCCATGGCGAGGATCCTTTTGAAGAGATCGAAAACTGATCAGGTTGGAAAGGGTTGTCATGTGATGGTGGGCCGGACTGGTAGGGAGCTGTGCCCGATTGCAGCTCTCTAAGTGCTTTTCGTTCAGTTGGTTTTCATGCCATAATTAACCAAGTCTTTTGACGAAAATTCCCAGGTTTTAAAATCAAGCCAAATGTAGCGCCAAGCCTGTTGGCATAGTTTTATAGCGGCCTGATTGCACCTAGTGGTAGAAAACATTGGAACAGACACACACACAGACCAACAGACCATGTACTGTAATCCTCACTGTGCATGCGTGCTAAGGGTTAATTAGTGAGATACACATAAAATTTGAATTATGCACATCTCCAGCCTGCTGTATCAGTAAAATGCGTACCTTCTACTGCATTAGAAGAAAAAAAGGCCATATTCCTTGACTCCAACGGATTTTCACTTGTGCACTCAGATGAACGGGGAAGTGCCTCTGATTCACCAGTTAAAGAACTATTGTCAACCTGAAAAAATAGAACATAGCGGTTAGGTGTACGGGCAATACTCAAGAGGTGCTTATCATTACTGCACTCCCTCCCTCCCTCCGTCTCTCCCCAGCCATGGCAACGACAAGAGTCAGTATTGGCATAGTTGGGATGGGGTGCGTAATGCAGCAGTGTGGTGAAGAGTTCCTAACAGAGACCGCGAAAGATCAGAGGCTAAAGATGAACACAGACAATAATATGCCACGAACTCAAGGAAATAAATGGGTGCTGTCGACATCGTTAAACTAGTGAAGCCAATTATGTGTTGCATTTGATTCAGATGCCTCGAGGATATCCTGGACAAGACCCTCTCACGTCCAGACAATTCCTATTTAGTTGTCTAGGTGAAGCATGAGACATTCACAATTATGTGTTGCAGCAGGAGTTATAGTTTGAAAATTGCGGAAACATGCCTTTCTGTAGTAGCACGGTTTACAAAACAGACTGTATGGTTGACTGTGTGCCACCCTAAAACTCTATTGAAATGGTGGTTGGTGTTGCACAATAGGTGGCACTTTTCCACTCTGTTAGTAACGGTATTGTCACCTGTCTACAGCTCCTGATTAAACAAATACACCTACAAGTCAATAAAAAATTGGTCGAATTAAAAAAGTGTGGAATAAAGGGATGCCATAAAAAGCAAGGACACAAGACAGGGATGACCTAGTGCACGTGATACAATGGATGATATACATACTTTGAACTGACATCGCTTGCTCGTGTAAAATTTCCTCCACACAAGCCCTATATTGTCGCAAAGTAAGAGTGTGCTCCCTTGTATGATGTGCATAAGCACATTAGACAGGTAACACCATCTACTCTGTTTTCAGTTGTGACTGCATTGTGTGAAGTCTAAGACTTGTTAAACTAACCAGTTTTACAATGCTGCCATCTACATACAGAATCCTTTCACCATTGTCCTCGCACTTCACTAAACAAACAGTAAAGGTGGCGACAATACAAGGGGCTTGTGTGGAGGAAATTTTACACGAGCAAGCGATGTCAGTTCAAACTATGTAGCCATAATCCAATGTACTACTCCATCATGTTCACTAGGTCATCCTTGTCTTGTCTCCTTACTTTCTATGGCTTCCCTATATTCCACAGTTAATTTGAAGACTTTACTTGTAGCAACTCTGCACCCCTACATAGAGTTGTAGATGTATGCAACACATTAGATCTTATGTGTCACAACCAACAATACTGTATTTTCATTGGTGCAAAATTTCGCCAAATCGCCTCTGGGGCCTCCAGAATACATGTTTCGTGCCACGATAGACTTCGACCACACCCCTTATACCAGTCAGGTCACCACACACTGAGAGGGCTGTGGGTCGCACTCTCAGTATACGCATCCATACTGTGACACACTTATAGCTTCTTGTATCATTAGTATCTTTGATACATCCTCTAGTGTCAAGAAGGAACATTGTAAAACTGGTTAGTTGAGCAAATATAGAAGTCTTAGACTCCACAAAATGCAAGTCACAACCTGAAAAAAAACGAGTAGATGGTATTACATGTCGAATGTGCTTATGAAAATAAATAGTAGCTGTGACATAAGTGGGAGCCACCACTCATACTTCGCAAACCAATATAGGGCTCTGATGTGGAGGAAATTTGTACACAAGGACGCGTGTCTGTCAGGTTTCAAAATATGTAGCCATCATCCATGGTATTACTGACATCACGTTAACAGGTCATCCCTTGTCTTGTCGCCCTTGCTTTTTATGGAATCCCTATATCCACACTTTTTAATCGAAGAATTTTTTTATTTACTTGTCTCATGAAGGGGGGAAGGAAGGCAAGGGAAAGGAAGGGGCCCTTCGGGGG